TCATACTAGTGGAACTAAAGTATATGCACATGCATATTCAGTGATGCTTCTAATTTATTTTTTTATTTTTCGATTTATATCCTGCCTTTTTCCTCAAAGGGCTCAAGGCAGCTTACATCATTCTCCTCCTCCATCTTATCCCCACAACAACAACCCTGTGATGCAGGTTGGGCTGACAGTCTGTGACTGGCCCAAAGTCACCCAGTTGACTCCACGGCTGAGCGGGGACTAGAACCCAGATCGTCTGAGTCCCAGGCCCATGCTCTTAACCACTATACCACACTGGCTCTCTACTCTGCCTTTGGGAAACACCAAGTTTCACTCTTATCTTTTTCCATTATCTCACTTTTTAAGCAGAATTATTTCTGAAATCTTAAATGTGTGTACATTTTAGCTTTGGAAAATGGTTTGCTCTGCAGTCCAAACTGGGTAGTGGAATCATTTTACTATATTGGTTTCTGTATTCCTGGTGTACAAAACCATATACCAAGAGGTACAGTTAGTTTTCAAATAGAAACTTCCCCAAACGTCTCCTGTTTGTTTCTTTGGGTTATTTATTTATTTATTTATAAAATTTGTATGCCGTCCATTACTTGTGTCTCTGGACAGCTTACAACATAAATCACAATAAAATAGATATTTCTAACCTGTCCATTTCAGTTTGTCTCTGGACGGCTTACAATATAAAACATCTAATAAATACAGCATAATAACACACGACTAAGGATCAGAACATAATTGACATATTTAAACTTTAAAATATCGGGTAAATAAAAAGGTCTTGACCTGGCACCAAAAAGCATATAATGTCGGCGCCGGGCATTGCACAATTAAAAAGCAGTTGAGATGGTAATACTCTCCACAGCTCAGTATTTGCAAATGTTTAAAAGCCTACTGCTGTTCATCTTTTTCTTTTCTTATAGTGCCAAATATATTGATGCTAATATGTACCCCAAATATAGATAAGAATAACAGTAATTTATTTATTTATTTATTTCACAGTGAGCAAGTGTGTGGGCCAAGAAGAAAAGGGTTAACTCCTGCTTTTCAAGAAGGCAGGGCTATTTCCATCAAAGTTGTGCCCACATGAAGAAGATGAACTCACGCCCATTCTTGGCTGTGCCTCCTGCAGAACAGCAGGGTTAATTGTTGGCTGCCAGATTGTTTGGGAGCATAGTTCTTTTTTCTTTTTCTATAATCGGTTCTCCCTCAGTGCTGCTGCCACCATTCCTTGCTCCCCCCCCCCACCCACCCACCCCAAAACCTTAGGCTGTTATCTCATTAAAAAGTACTGTTGTGGAGGGAGCAGTTGTATTTTAGAAACTTCCCGTAGGAGCCCACCCTCAGTGTGTTGCATTTGGACTTAGGGAGTGCTTCATACTCGTGGTTCTACTGGGTGTCTCAATATTTTCTCTTGTCTTCTCATAATACTGTTAGTTCTGCCAGTGCACACAGGGATCTGGCCTGGCAAGACTTCCTGGACTTGCCATTACAGATGCCTCATCTTTATAGAGTTGCTGACAAGCAATCTCATATCCCTCCTTCGAATATGACAAGTAAAATTATGTGTGGGCAGGTGGAATGTACCTCAGTGAGGAGGAGGAAAACTTTACATTAGCAACAGCAGCTGTAATCATGTTGGGCTCAGCAAAGTTTGATAGAAGGTGCTGTTCTATTTTCCTTTGGTGCTTCAAAGGGGTTGTGGGAAGCTGTTTCAGGCTTCCTAGTAACAGGCAGACTAGCCTGGACTCAAGCAGATATCCTGCACTTACACAAGGAGAAGGAATGGGAGCAAAGCAGTAATGCAGTCATAAATGAAAGCAAGTAGATGCAACTTTTTTTCAACTAGCAGTTCTTCCTCCTCTATGTCCCTTGCTATTTCCACTTTGCCCTCTAGTTACCAAAAGGGAGGGAAGATGGTAAAAAGGAGCATGTGCCCCCATGCTCTGCTGTGCATAAGAGAGCACCTCTCCTTCTGCCCCAGGCCTCTACCACTAATCCTATATCAAAGGAGCCAGGGTGATAAACATCATCAGGAAAGCTGATCTCCTTTTGGCATAGGGTAGCCTTTGGGTTCTCCAACATGATCTGTCTCCTGCCCTCTGCCCCACTCCCATCTTTTCCCCAACAATCCTCAGGACACCCCACAACCCCCCTGCCCCGCCCCCCACTGTCTTGATTGCCTGCTGGCAAACTTCCCCAGTAGATGCCCAGATGGGCACCTTCAGGAAAATGTCTAGCAGGATGCACTCCCTCCATCCCTGGCATGGGTGTCTATGCTGATGCCCTCCCTGTACCTCTCTTTTCTTGTGGGAGGGACTGACAGCATGTGTGAGTCCTGTGTACATGTAGACCTCAAGGAAGGCAGTGCAGGTGTGTATGCATTGGTGGGTGTGCTTGTACACAGGCACTGCTCTCACTGTGTGGCAGCAGTGAAGAGGGTCTCTGCAGTGCTAGAAAGTAGGCAGTTGCTTCATGGAGCACCCCCCCCCCCAAAAAAAAACCCAACCAGGAACAGCTGGCTACAGGTATACCCATGGGAATAAGGCCATTGAAGGGAAAGGAAGGCAGATTAGGCAGGAGCAGCGCATGCTGTGATTGATTTCTAGTTGCAGGGGCTGATGGAATACATGCAGCTATTTGCAGGGAAGAAATATGGAAACCATGCACACATAGAAATCGTGTGAATGTATGAATATAGGATATAAGGCCACGCTGTTACAGCACAGCATTGTTTAGTATTATGTGTTGAACATACCCATAGTGATGTCCAGTACATGGAATAAGAGTGTTTTCCTAAATAACACATAGCTTGAGATCCATTTAAGGTATAAACACTTAAGCAGGGATCAACCAATTAAACAAAATAGAAAAATCTCATATTCCATTCCTGCTTAAGACCCCTTGCTCCATGTTTATTCACTGATAATAAATATTTATAAACATGGATCATGGGCCAGAAAAATTGATCAACTGTGTTTCCAATGGCAAAGGAAACTCTGAAACTGTAGAAGTGGCAGGGCCAAACCTTGATTCTAACATATCAACAAATATTGTAATTGCAACTATTGCCATCCTGCCATAACAGGTGAATTGTATCTGGTCTACCAAGCCAGGAATAACGAGAACCCATTCTTAGCACCCACTGTTTGATCCAAGTTAAAATTAACTTATCTGTCCAAGTCTACCACAGAAACATTTTCTTACCAATTTTAAATCTGGCTGCACATAGAATCCATGAGCAAATGGACTAAATGTAATTGTCACCATATTATATGCCACAGATCTCTAACCACCATAACTATGGGAGGAGCTCTATCCTTTTTAATGAACAAAGATCTTAATGTCAACCATTTATACAGAATCAAAGTAGGAAGATTTCCAGACTGGTCAAGGTAAAAAGTCTAAGTGGAAAAGATCAAAATTTTGTACAGATCAATAAATAGGCCTGATGATATAAAGCAACATTTGGAAAGCCAAATCCACCTTGTTTAACTGGAAGTTACATCCTTTCAAGGATGTGCATATTAATTAGAGTCCCTCCACCCAAAAAAAAGTAACAGAATATTGTGTTTTTTAAAATATTTGGGGTATATTTAAATAAATCCTATGAATAACATAAACAATCCAAGGATTGATTGATTGATTGATTTATATTGCAATTTATATCCTGCCTTTTTCCTACAAAGGGCTCAAGGCAGCTTACATCATTCTCCTCCTCCATCTTATCCCCACAACAACAACCCTGTGAGGTAGGTTGGGCTGAAAGTCTGTGACTGGCCCAAAGTCACCCAGTTGGCTCCATGGCTGAGCAGGGAATAGAACCCAGATCCTCTGAGTCCCAGCTCCATGCTCTTAACCACTACACCACACTGGCTCTCTAGTGTTCATCTTAAATGTGTTTAATTTACCCCAATCAACTTTAAAGATGCCCATCTATATCCCATAAGATCTTATTAATCAACTAGTTCAAATTAGCTTGATCATATGAAATATGTCTCTGAGAATAAGTGTTCCAGAAAGAGGTAAACATTTGAACATAATCAAAATTGCTAATTAGCTAATGCACTATGAAAAATATACAATTTCCGGTCAGCATCAGTTCATATTTTGACCAGTGAACTGTATTGCCAGATGAATTAGCAAAAGTAATAACTGCATCAAAGCTGGAACAATTGCCTGGAGCTTCAAGATAAAAAATAACAGATCTTCAGGATAAGGGATTGTTTTAATTCTATACAATCACATACAAAACCATGACTGTATTCTGGTTGATAGCACACAGTAGAGGTTCCAAACATAAAGAGGACATCCCTGTCTCATACCTCTTTCAAGTGGGAAAAAAGCTGAAAAGAGACTTACTGATCATACTTGAACATGTCCAGGAGTCATCTACGATACAGTTTCTGCAACACTTAAGCATATCTTTGGGCATACAAAACAAGAACTTTTTTCATGTGAATGGATGACAAACATTTTGGACATTATAACCTCTATGAGCATATTAAGGAGCCCTACTTTCATGAGCTTTGCACTCCTCCAGAGCTTGATGATCACAGCCATCAGTAAAGTGGCCCAAGCACAGTTCCAGTCCATGAGCCCATAATGGTTTCTCTTCAGACTTCAGTATAAAATTATAGTTTGCCAGCTCTCTCTCTCGCTGGTGACACCAGAAAAACATGTCACAAGGCAGTCATCCAAAGCAGTGGTTTTCAACCAACAGTCCGCAGACTGGCACCAGTCCACAGGAGATTTCCTGGCAGTCCATGGGGAGGCCACATCGCACTCACTGCAGACCAGTACAGGGGCTGGCTGTGCTCTACCACCTCTTCCTTGGTTGGCATTGTGTTTGCAGGGGATGCACTGGTGCTGCCAGGAGGAGCAGGGAGGAGAGACAGCACAGTGGGAGACGGCTGGGAGCCATGCTGTGCCAATTTCAGTATTTTGTTTTAGTTGGCATTTTTTGTTGCTTGGTTTCGGGTTTTGTTTTGTTTTTTGGTTTGGTTTTGTGGTTTTTGGGTGGGGGCTAGTGTGTTTGGAAAGTAATACACAGAATACTGTATTATGTGTATAGTGCTTTTTGTTTCTGCCTCAGCAGTCCCTAAGGTGGTTTTCCTGGTTTTGCCCAGTCCCCAGCTGTGGAAAGGTTAAAAACCACTGATCTAGAGGATCCAGATTCTCTAGATCCAGGATCTAGTCCAGATCCAAGTGATGATGGATGTCGGGTTGATGAGTTGGACAAGACACTGTCTCAAAGGGTTCACACAGAGCTCTTGGCCACAGGAGAAGAAAACATACTGCATCATTTAGCTGGACATGAAGGCCATGCATTTTGCTCTTCTAGCTTTTCAGAATTGTGTCGGAACACTTCCTGATACACATGGAGAGTGTGACCTCCAAAAGCCCATGCGATTCTTGTTAGAACTATTCTTCATATAGAACTTTTTTAATTTGGCTATTTCAGATAACAAAGTGCATTTTATGAAAATGACACTATTTTTTCTTTCTTTTTCGCCTTCCATAACTATGTATTTGGAGTTAGTCTTTTTTATTCTTTCCGCCCAGTCTGAGTATATTTTTTTCCCTGCAGCCTAAAGCATAATTGTTTCTTGATTGCTGCCATACAATTGCTTGATTGTTGAAGCTAAGATTGGGCTAATACAATCTGGGTCAAAGCAAAGGCTGACTGGTGGGTACATGAAGGGATTTTGGTCCTATGTAAAATGTGATACTTTACACTGCATCCCTGGCAAACGTTAAAGTATGTGGATTTGTTGCTTTCCATATGCAGTAGTCCTTCATATAGTTCATAGCCACAACAGTAGCTATAGAATTTGAACTGATTTTTCTTTAAAATTATACAGTCCTGAAGATGTGTTCATTACTTTCTTAGGCACCTGGGTGCACTTACTGGCGGATGTCTTGGAATATTTTTTCTAGAAATGCTGCATTCACTCACATTCTGGTTATTTGGATAGCAGGTATTTAAATTTAGGATCAAGGTTTATGAAGAGGTCAGCCTGATTGCTTAAGGCTGCCATCTTACCCTGGAACCCACTTGCTATAATAACCCCAGCCTATCATTTAAAAAAGTTTTCCTAGAACATGATTTCCAATAAATGTCTCAGGCTTTACATACCTTGATTCTGCTCATTTCCACATTTCTGCTTGTGTTTCTTGCTGTCTGTTCCGCAGGAGAACAAGAAAGCATGCAGGTTCATGGACATATTGATGTGTAACAACCACTTCATACTACCTATTTGTCTCCTTATTAGCTCTTCATTTTACTGTTATTCAGCTATTTGTCATTTCTTTATTTCTAAATTAACTTGTGCATGTGTTAACAAGAAGCATAAATTGCATTAATGTTTGACCCCTTTTGTCTACTTGCATGTTACATTTCTCCTAAACATGAGATCTGTGGCACCAAAGCTGAGCTGTCTAAAACAACCTCAGTGCTTTTTATCTTTTGCCAATACAGAGTAGCAAGGTCATCTTTATCTTAATATACCACCCCATTCCCATAAATTCATTCTTCTGGATTGTGTCTGAATTTATATGCCTTGTGCCTTTTTTGTGAATTTAACTACTATCAGAGCAACTGCATAAGATGTGTGTCCTGGTGTTTGCCCATTTTCCATGGTGTCCATCTGCCTTTGAAATTTTGCACCTGGATGAACTTAATACTTCCTTCCTATTAAGAATCTCTTGCAGCTGTTCATAATATCTCAGTTATCTTGGTTATATTAATTGTACATTTTTCTCACAAAATATATTTTGCTTGAATGATTTTTCAGAAAAAGGTTTAAGTGCATTCCAATGCTGTCTGCTCATTCTGAATGAATTAGGGGCCATGTTAGTTACTAGTTTCTTTCAGCAACCCTGTATGGGTAAAGCGGTTGGCTCTCTGTTCCCCCCTCAGAGAATGAAGCTGAAGTTGTTCATTGGTACAGATTAAGCATATTGGTTAATAGAATGACTCACTTTGAGTTCACTTTGCATTTTAACCAGCACTTCCAGTCTCAGTTGGTGTCTATATGGGTACATTTTATGATGCAAAACTTGTTCAAGAGAAAAGGAATAATGTTTGTATGGAAAATTCTAGTCTCTGTATCCAAAGGGGAAATCATATTAATCTACTGCAGTGAAAACAACATGTCTTGTGTCACCATAAAAAGAAACAAATTTATTCTGGCATAAACACTGTTGAAATGCATTATGATCCATGAAAGCATACACCAGAATAAATTTGTTAGTCTTTAAGGTGCCACAAGACTCAGTTTCTGATATTGCTGTTGAACTGTGAATGTAACTTGCTGACAAAGTACCTGGTTTATGTTAGGCCAAAGGTTTAAACTTCGAAAAAGAATGGATATTTTTAATGGGTGATTTGCCCTCTGAGCTGTAGTTAGGCCTTAGAGAAGCCAGAATACAAATCCTATATTAGTGATCTTTCTGCCTCCAGTGACTTAAGTGAAAAGGGCTCATTCTGGATGCAGTAACTGTGGAAAGTAAATATTGAATGTTCACCTACTGTGATTCTGCATCCACCATTTCATAGTTTGTTAATTTATAATATAATTTGAGCTACATTTATTCACAATTAGGCTGCTTATTCCATATCTGTTTACATTTGTATTTTACCCTATTCTTGAGGCTTTTGCCAGTTTCCACAGATATTTATAATTTTGCACAGGAGAAGGAAAAAGAACAGAAGAAACAGACAATTCCATAAATAACTGCAAGATAGGATTCTTGGCACTGAATGGTACAATGGAACTGAAAGTTAGGATGGAGTCTGTGCTGAGAAAAAGGGACATCAAGACCTCATCTGCTCTGAGTTCTCTTGGCTGTTGGATGGGCACATGCTAACCTTTCTCACTTTGGGTAGCTGATGCTTTAGGATGAATGTTTTCACATTGACTCACAAGACACAGGGTTTGTTCTGCTATAAACTTCTCCACTACATATATGATTGGTTCCTGTCATTTTATTGTAAAAATGTGTGTGTGTAACAACATAAGATCCATGGTAGATTAGACTATGATCCATCTAGTATGGCATTCTGTTCATACAGCACGCAGCCATGTCCACCCAATTAGGACATGAATACAGGAGCAACTTCCCAGTCAAGTTACCCAGCAACGTTCATACATATAGGCATGGTGCTTCTGATGCTGGAAGCACATATAGCCATCAAGAGTAGTAGCCATTAATAGTCTTCTCCATGAATTTGTCTAACCCCCTTTAAAGCCATCCAGTTGGTGACCATTATTACATCTTGTGGTAGTGAATTTCATTGTTCAGCTATGTGCTGTTTTCCTGTCATCTTTTTGCTGACATTCAAACTGACTCTCAAATTCTTGTACAGGTTTAATGACCATGAATCAGTATACAAGACATTACTACTATACATTAGACCAAGTTTGAAGATGCTGATTGGGCTGGATCCCTTCTCAAACCTTCCCAGTGCCTTAGTTCTATCTCCTGAGTATGCCTGTTTACTGCTATCCTGTCTCCAGTTCTGTCTGTCTATCCCCCAGTCCCTGGTATTGCCAGACAATGAAAGCATGCACTGTCACAGTGATCACATGGAGTTGCTAACAAATTCATGTAACGGTTCCCCTATATCTTGAGAAAGGATTTATACAGTTTCAAGTCCTCATGAATAGCACACATCTTTCTTTGGTTTCCTTCTTGCCATGTTATCCTCTCTGTGCTTTGGCAACTTCACATGCTAGATAGGTATATCTTGGGTATTTGCTGTGCATCCCTTTCTCTTATCAAAGTTCATGCACAATTGGTCAACATGTATTTATAGCCCTAACACCACATCACAATTTTCACTTACATACTGCTGTCCTTGGTACAGGTAGTTAAAGGGTATGTGTAGGCAGAAAGTATGTATGTGTTTGGTGTTGAGAGAAGTTTCTTGGTCAACAGAGGAGTAGAACCAACAGTTTGAGAGAGCAGAACTAATGAAGTTTATTTCTGCCCCTGAAGAAAGAAGCCCCTTCAATATTGCTTTTGCCAAGAGTAGATTTTTGAGATTATCCAAGCTGGAAGTATCAGCTAAAAAGAAAATGAAAGAAAGAAAAAGAGAACAGTATGCCACCCTTTTCCATTTCTCCAAGATGGAGCAGCTATTGGGGGTATCCTTTCTACTTATTTAAAAATATTTCTGTGCCATCTGTCATGTCAAAACAGGATCTACAACAATAATAACTATATTATACAAATATCAATAGATATACAAAAATAACCCACACATGCTAAAATATAACCAGTAATCATGAGCTGTAATTAAGAATGACAGGCACCTCAAATAATCATACAATGAATTCATCAGAATACGCTCAAGCTACGTTCCTACATAGGAAATGTAACCCTGTCCAGAAGAGGCAAACTGCCTAGTTCTATAACACAAAGGCCCTAGGGTCTCTGTCTTGCCACCATTCAGTCTCAATGTATTGTCCCCCATGCAGCCTGCCACCACATCCATATATTGGACCTCTCTGATCCAAAAATAACAAGCAAAGTGCTGGGTACACTTGATCTCAACAGTTCCATATAGATTTGAATAGCAATGGAGAGAAAGTGATAACTTTGTACTCCTGGCAAAATTGCTAGGGCAGCAAAAATAATCATTCCATACTATGAACCACTGTATAACACTTCCCTGCTACCAGACAGAACTATATGATACCACAGTCAATAATATCAAAAACAACTGAGAGATCAAGCAAAAGTAAGAGGCATGCACACCTACATCTTTCTTTTGAGAAAGGTCTTGCTCAGTTTGACCAAAGTTGATTCAGTACCAGTAGCAGGTCTGAACCCAGATTGAAATAGTATTATCTTATGCTTACACACGTTTTTGGGCTGCCAAGGATACTGGGCAAAGAGTTGCCTGTGCTGCTGTTTTAAGCCTTGTATCTCTTTAGCCACTTTAACAAGCGGCTGAATTACTGAATGTAAAAGTTGGAACTGTGAAACTGTACACTACTGCAGACAGATTTGCCTCAGCTGGTTTGTTGTGGGAGGTCTGTGCATTGTTTTTAGACATTTCAGTCTCATAGTTAATACATCATGGAGAATCATGCGTTTGCTTTCCATTTTCTTGTAACGTTCAGAATAAGGCTCTGGCTACAGCTAAGCAATTTTCTACTTTGTATGTAACCACCAAAATACAAATAATTGACATGCCTACTTTTCCATTTTGTGAGTTAATACATTGAGTGCCAGTAGCTGCCTTGAATACACTTTTTTTTAGAAAGAAAGCAGAGTACAAATAAATGCACCCTAAGTTTTGTATTTAGAATGCTACATTTTTAACACCAGCTGATGACTTAAACTCTTGAAAAACTGTGTGCAATGTGTATTAGAAAAAGTATCAGAACAAGTGATCCAAGCAAACTTTTCAAATGAAGTAGGCTTCATTTCCAGTGAAGCCTACTTCATGATTCCTTTGTCAAGCAGTTGATCCTTAAACTTATTTTTTTTTAGTAAATTCAAGATACTGAACCTTACACTTGAAGAAATTAACACTTTCCTTCCACTGCAACAAAGTATGTTAACTTGAGAAGATGTTAGATAAGTTTACTTAATTAAACAATTGTTGCTCATTAATAACATGAAAAGAAGGTGCTGAATGAGACCAAACTGACCAGTCATATATGTAGGAGGCCTACAGGCCAGGACATGAGAGCAATAATCTTTTCCTGCTGTTGTTTCTAAGCAACTGGAATTCAAAGGCATTCTGCCTCTGGTCCTGGAAATAGCATATTGCCACCATGACTAATTGCTATTGATAAATTTATCACTATTTATCTTCACATGTTTTGGTAGCAAATTCCATAGATAATTTATATGCTGTTTGGAGGGGGGGCACGTCTTTTTGTCCTGTATCTCCGGTCACCTCTGCTGAGTGGCCTCTGGAATCTTACAATATTAGACAGAGAAAAGACTTACCTCATCGTTCGCCATAGCATTCATAATTTGTATAAACTTCTGCTAATAACCATCTTTATTAGACTAAAAGCCTCCAAACATAACTTGTGATTGTAGTGCCATTAGTCCAGCCCACTGTACATTTTAGTTCTCTGTTTTCTCATCTTCTGCATAGAGCAAGGGTGTGCAACCTGTGGCCTTCTTGTTGGATTACCAGCTCCTAACCATTGACCATACTAGCAGGAGTTGAGAGAAGTTGGAGTCAAACAGCATCTGGAAAGGCACAGGTTGCCTGACCCTAACATAGAGCTAATATTTACCATATTGAAGTCGGATCATTGCTGGTAGTCCTAGAAAAGAAAAGGTAATATGAATACAGTTTTTCTTCCAGAACTTGTTACTACAGTAGTAAATGTAATCCATCCTGTTTGTCAGGCACTTAACTAGTAAGACAAGCCAGGGAACTAAAAGAGAAGCATAGAAGAGGCTAGCAGATGAACAAGCACATCTGAACAAAATGAAAATTAGTGCACTCAACAGATATGAGAGCTGATATCAAGGTTAGTACAGAATTACCTAAGTTTTGAATGAGCTTGAGCTTGATGTGAAAGAAAATGCCTCAAAATCTGCACGATCCTATAGCTAGACAGAAAAAAACCTCTAGGATTACACCCTAAGTGGTTTAATCCTTTTATTGTTGCTTCGTTGTTGATAGCTATGATTCTTTTTTAATACAGTTAAGCATCTCTTTGAGGGTCATACGGAAGCTGGAGATGGATGCAAGACGCACATGGCTAAAATTGCCAAAATCCTATTCACTGAAATAATCTGTGGTATACCTTTTACTTCCTGGACCTATGTTGTGTTTGTCTTTACCTTCAAAATATGTAGGAAAGGGCAGTTCATTTGCTATGGGATGGTAAAGGGCAAAGATGGTCTGAACACTCAGTAGTAGATGTGGAAACATTACCAAATATAATCAGTATTTTAAAGGTGGTAAGCCTGGAATCTGATGTACAATTTGTGTTAGGGTTGTAAAGCTTGAATGTGAAATAAACCTATATGAATATGGGAAAAATCAGTTTGGAAAAGATGAAGAACTTTGGCAAAATATCAGGATCTGAGACATTGGAACATAAGGATGTTGAAACTGACAATTTCTTATTTAATTGTGCACTTCTATGAAAAATTCTGCTAATAAATTCATATTTCGTAATATTTAGAAATGGACTTCTCAGGCCAGGATTGTCTGAATCCTCAATTCTTTTCATATGTGAATTTGGAAGCCTTGCAGATATTTTCCTTTGGAACATGTCTATAGATATAAATTCAGTACTGAAGTAAAGACTTGTTCTATCCAGCAATTGGAATCTGGCCCAGAAGCAAATAGCAAACATGTCATCTAGATACATATAATCATATTGCACCATCTCACAAAATTAACTTGCCTCCTATTAGGAACTCACGATATCTTTGAAACGGACATCATTATACTATCTAAAGGAATATTTAAGGCCTCATACAAACACCTTTTGGATAGAAAGCTTGATTGGAAGCTATGAAGCTAGTTTGTGTTCCTTCTGCTCTATTGCACACAACTATCTTCATGGATCTGACACAGTGTTTATCTGACAGTGCACTCAGTACTGCTTCGCCAGGGAAAATTGCACAAAACAAGCCCAGTGCATCAGCATTTTTATTGTGTACTGAGCTGAGTTCTCTTCACATGGTCACATCCCCTTTTTAATCCTGGTCCCCATGTTCCTTTCCCAGTCCAGCCTGTTTTTGTGGTGTCTGTTGCCGGTCTCACCCAAGCTTGCGTTCTTGTGGTTTGAGTGTTTTTGTGTGGATCAGTGTGTTAAGACCTGCAGAACTTAAGTGGTGGTGTTCAATTGGTTCGACAGGGCAGTGATCTAGCATTAGTGGTTTGTGGTAAGCAGAGAAGTGATGGCTGCTTTTAAGTTGGATTTCCTCCCAGAAATGATGGTGGATCATTGCTCCTTGAATGCCAATCCTATGTAAGTATTTTGTTTTCATAGTTAATCTACATTGATGCTGATTGCTTTGAATTTGTTGTTTTGAAGGTGATTGGTGGTGGTGGGATTTGCTTAATGTCCTGTATTAAAGAACCAAACCAGGAATGAAGACCCTAGAGTTAACTTGTGAAAGCGAGCCATAATATTCTTAGAGTTTACACATTTTGATCCAGAACTATTAAGGGTAGTAGCCAAAATATTGCATCCATCATCAGATCCTGTTCCACATGGGCTAATTTTAGAGTGGGATACTTAAGAGACAACTAAATAGAAATTCTGCACTATATTGGATATATCTCTGCTGTTTAGACAGGAATGCTATAGGCACCTGTTCGTAAAATTTTATCACTTGAGATTTGTAACTATAACATTTTTAGCATGGTAGATATTGCAGTTTTACATATGAATTTTTTCTTTGTGAAAAGGAACCTTAATATAGGTCAAACACAACAATAAAAATGACTGACCAAAATTAAATGCTACTAATATATTTAGCTATAATGCGTTCTTCAAATGTGCATGATTTTCTGTTGAGGTACTAGCTTCATCGGAATAAACTGGTTTCAGGTAAGTGCGGGACTGCATTAAGCATTTATTTGATTTTTATCTAGGAGGATCCACAAGGTGCTTTACATAAAACATAATTACGTAAGGACTGCCTCTGCTCCTTCCAACACATAACATTGGATTGGGATAACAATGAAATATCCATAATAGAAGGTGACTGCTTTTCAGAGCTGTTTTGCCATCAACATGCCTTGTGGTTTATGGCACACAGTAAAATAGATCCATACCCAGGGATCTTGCAGTATCTATAATTATGACAATTAGAAGTGTCAGAGATGACAAAAGGAAGGGCCCTAGTTGGAAACAGGATTAAACTGGAGAAGAACTTGTTTCGGTTACATGTACTTTGGATTTGTTATAGTGGGGCATGGGGTTACATTCCCATTACCATCTTCATCCGAAAAACATTGGTTCTGAGTTTGTTACCCAACAAGTGAAAGACATTTCTGGCCCACCTCAGCAAAAAATCCTCACACATAAGCCTTTCCTGAACTATCTACACTTTACTTTCACTATCTCTTCACTATGTCACTGTCACAGTGTGAAAATAAGAGCCAAATGTATTACCTAAATAAACATTTAGGATCAGGAGTGAATTAGGTTCATATAACCAACAAAACTCCCACACATACACCCTTTCATGACAATAAACAAGGGCAAGTTATTTTCTCTTAACTGATTGTTCAGCTTCAGATTAATTCAACTGGATAAAACATTTTTCTTTTGTAAATTTTAGGGCAGCTTATAGCACAAACAAGACAAATAAAATCTGAAATTAAAAATGCATGAAACACATTCATGCTAGATGAACCATACGGGAAGTACAGCAATGAAATAAAATATTTCCTCAACTTCAAAGCCATATTGAAGTAGCCCAGCTCCTTTTTTGAACAATCCTTAAAGAATGAAAGAGTTATATCTCTTAGGGAATGAGTAGTATACCATTAAGGTTAATGCAGAAATGCTTTTATTACATCCTATTGTAGTCCTAATCTTAAAGATGGTGATTTGAAATGCATCTTAAAGGGTATGGGGAGATAGTGTATAACAAAGAACTTTTCTAGGTGACTAAATACTTAAGTGCTGTTTAGCTTCAATTCTAAACTCCCCCCCCCAGGCTTTCATTCAGGGGTTAATGTGAAGTTTCAGTTATCTAAGATGTGTTTCAGTTATTTCATTTATGTCCTTCCTTTCCTCAAAGGGAGCATTGTTCCCCCCCACCCCCATTTTATCCTTATGACAAATCTGTGAGGTTTATTAGGTTAAGAGTTGACAAATGGCCCAACATCACCCGGAACATTTCACGGTCAAGGGTGGGTGTGAACTAAGCTCTTCCCAGTAATCCAATGCTTTTAGATGAAATTTTATTCCCTTGAAAAATAGCTAACCTAACTTGTTCAGATATTCCTTGATTCTAAGTGATCTCACTGTTCTCTTCTTTTAGGTATGGAATTCTGGGTAATTGAGATTTGAGGTACTATGGAGAACAATAAGTGCCATGATTCTCAAGTGATACTATCAGAGTACATACATCATAGAAATGGAATCTCAATTGAGGACTGTCTACAAACAGGGAATGAACACTTTATACAAAATCTAAATTTGATCATTTCTTTAAGAAGAACTTTCTTCTTGTTATTAGTGGATGAAAGTTGTGGATGCCTTGAGGTGGCAGCAGTCAAGTTAAATATGTATCCACACTGGCTACTTTCCTACAGCAACAACCGTGGCAACCTAGCATACAACTCCACAAAATTTACTAGCTATCAGCAATTTCAAAATTACCAATCTTGTCTGATTTACAATAACATTTTAGTGGAAGCATGAAAGGGGAACAATTCTTGTTTTATTTCAGTATGCCATCCTTTGAAAATAACCCCCACAGTGATGTACTGTGTTTAAAAGTAGTCTTACCACTGAAACTATGATTACCCTCAGGAGTGTGACAGCTAGAGCCCCAGTGGTAGAGGGGGAGATTCTTCAATAACCTCCTCCTTCGTTGACCAGATGTGCATGATCATCACAGCCCACCATGGCTTACAGTATATGCCAGTGACCATTCTGAATACTCAGACTGGGGAAGGAGGGGAGCTATCATGGTTTGTTGTGCCATCCAAACTTGGATGGCTGGGGTCATTTTTAGGGCTATTTGAGGTTTGTTTAATCCTCAGACAACTGCTGCTGCCTGGATTTGGATGACCTGACAAACCATGGGAGTTGAGTATTCAGAATGGCCACCAGAATGCACCTCAAGCCGGCATGAATTAAATAAGCAACAGTGAGCTGCAATGATTGTGCAAACTGGCTGAGTATATTTTTCTGGATTAGAGTTGCTGGCAATTCACTGTGGTCAAGCCACTTCATTTGTATACCAATGTTCTGCCAGCTTACCAGTAACTCAAGGTGGTTCATAACAAGTAAAATGACAAAAATAGTGCCAATAGTATAATACATAAAATTACTCTCTTGATGCAATGTAATGTTTCACTTTTGTAATATTGAACCTGCCTTGTACAAAGCGGGAATGAGCAATGCTTGCCACATAACTATCAATAAAGATCTTCTGTATCTCACAGGAAATCTTGCTCCTCATAGAGGTGGAAGCCAGATAGACTTGCTCTAGATGCACAATGCAAGGCCACAATATACACTTGGCTTTGTAATTAGTAAGAAAACTTTGGCAGGCCATACAGGGTCTGTAATCCAGATGCCTAAATCTTTGAAATTATCAGCCTTTCCAGTATAGTTCCTTGTGGTTTTGGACTACAGCACTTGCCATCCTTAACCACTGGTCATGCTGCCTGGAGGTCATGAGAGTTGTAATCCAAAATATGTGTTAGACACCAAATCAAGGAAGCTGAGCTCAACATTAAGTCTGTACCAGAAGTAACATCTGCTTGGATGCAGTCAGTGTGTTTATATAGATTTCCATAAGTGGGAGAACCTGGAAGTTTCAATGAATACGTAGTTCACAGTTTGTGTTTCACTACTCTGAACAGTCTATCTTCCTTTCTCTGAAATGGAATGAATATCCAAAAGATTGCACATCAGTCATTTACTGCCTGTTATTTGACTTTATTTGATCTTCCATGAAGCCAAGAATGCCATTGTGCCAGTTTCTCCTCACTCCACCAGCCTTTGCACAGATCCAGAAGGTTGGGGATCCTTCTGTAGTACCATGCTGTGTGGTTCTGGGGGCTGCAGAGGAAAAGATAATTGATCTACAAAAATAATTGTTCCTTCCCATTACTCCAGCAGGAAACCGCAGGTAGATTACAGTTATCTCCATGAACAAAAGAAGCTCTTCCATCCATGGAGGCAGAACTCTGGATTAAACTCTTTGTTTCACAGTAGCTAACTTGCTTTGTTGTTAGCATAAGTATCAAACCTGTTGATAGTGGCAATATTTTTATTGTTGTTCTGTGGAAGTTAATGCTTTGAAAATATTTGCCTGTTTGACCAGACCTTTGAATTTGTTGGGTTAACTGCTATATTCTTTATTCCCAAAACAACCAATCAGTCTGGGTTTGAACATCAGGCTCAGCTGTCTGCAAAGTAGCCAGTCATGGGTTGCAGTGTAAAAGTGGTAGTGGTGGATGTCCTGCAGGCTTTCTCCAGCTTGCCTCACTTGTTTATTAACCTACCAGCTGTCATTTGAATCAGCAACCTCATATTTTAAATGGTATGAAGTAAGAGTCTCATAATGAATTTGAGGGGAGAGATATGGTATGGAGAAATTCCCTTCTGTTGTAGTAAAAGCCAGTATGATAGAGCTTAGGAAATTGCAGTTTGGAGATACATGCTAAATTTTTACTCTAGCCATGGGTGCTTTACCCAGAGCCTTCTAGATGTTTTAGATTACAACTACCACCATCCTAAACATTCACCATGCTGGAAGAGGATTATGGGCAATTAAGTTCAAAATGCTGGAGGGAAGGAGTTGCCTACCCATGTTTTTACTAGTTAAGTTCTCTATTTTTTTTTCTCAAGCAATTAGTATTTAGGTTAGCGATTTACCTTGCATCCTAAAAATTCTCCCCATCCCAACAATTGTAATTTCAAAGTGGCCAGATCTTATTGTATGCAGATCTTACTGTCTTATTGTATTGTATATTCTCACCTTCAAACAGGAATGCTTCTGTTCAGGTTTTCATCTAACCATAGCATTTTCTGGTCTCCATCTACCCCATTCCCCAACAGATGTGTGGTATTTTGTAACTACTAAGCATGCAAGGTCCTTGTTCATGTTACTTTTTTAAGGATTTGTCTTTTAGATTTCCTTTGCAAAGATATTTTTGTGAACTCTGGGGTTATTACAGTCTTTGGGGTTCACACACAAACATGTTGATGCCTCCTTTCTTATATCTTAGAGGCCCTAGGCAGAGGCTCCATTTCTGTCAGTATATACCACCCGATTACTGTTGGAGGGAGTGGTAATATTGCATTGATGTGGGTGAAAATTTTCAGTTTCATAAGTTCCTTTGTAGTAATGAATTATCATGCCAATTTTAAATATAATATTAACTTTCCCGGTTTCAAATCTGTAGTTAATACTTTCAAACATGTAGTTTTCAAGTGATTATATATACCAACTACATGAGGGAGTATATATATGTCAGTGAAATAGATACATGTCTCAGAGTAAATGGAACAAATAAATAGTGATAAATATAATAAGTGAAAAATAAAGCACTGGACAATTTTCTATCACCAGTTGTCAGCATGGGATGCACAGTTCGTCCTCCTCTGCTCTAGGGCATCAGAAAATTTTCCAATGGAAATTAGTCTAAAAATGATCAAATACAGAAGACAAAATTATCTGGTGATGTGGACTTTCTGGAAAAATTCCTATGCAAATTAGACTAACCAGTTCACCAGATACTTTTGTTTTCTGTGTTTGATCTTTTTTTTCCTACTAAGAGCAATAGTTGGTAAGTATACCAACTTTTTAGCTATGCATTGTAAGCTCAGTTTATTTTTTGCAATAAAGGTTATTCCTTATGCAAGACCTTATTGTTCTATTCCAAGAAATTAAATTTTCTGGAGGAGAAAACTGCAAAAGCTACATCTAGAAGAAAACAGGTAGCCATCAGACAAGTTCAGCTAGTCTTTATTTAAATCACGGCTTGTTGCCCTACCCAGGGTATGGTTTGCCTGGCAGACAGTCAAGCAAACCATGGTATTTTTTTAATTTCCTGAACTGATAATTTCCCTCCTCCCAGCCCCTCCCTCTTTCTCATCCTTTTGTGACTGGAGTACTGGCATGTAAAGAGACTGATACTTTTGGCCACTCTTGCTCACTGAAAACAACCTGTGAATGTTTCATGATTCAGCATTTCCATGGAACAATGAGCCCTGAAGGAAAAAGTGTGAGTTAAATCCCATAGTTATCTGTTAGTTCCAGTTTGGCTTATAATGACCCACAATTCAACAAACTGTGGTTAACCCATGTTTTTCCCGTATGTGTGAATCAAGTCATTGTCTCCCCCGCCCCACCCCACAAACTCGCTTTTCACTGAACAAAGTGTCTGTGTGTGTGTAATATTTCAAATGCCTCAGATCAGCAAGTTACTTTTTTACACATTCAGGTTTCAGCATTCTTTTAATATATTGGAAAAACCTTGATCAGGACACAGTAAAGGAGGACACTTACCAGATGTTTCTCATTGACTTGTGCAGCTCAAAGAAAATGAATGGCACACTGGATCATCCTGACCAGCCAGACATAGATGCCATTAAGATGTTTGTGGGCCAGGTCCCACGGAGTTGGTCTGAAAAAGATTTGCGAGAACTATTTGAACAGTATGGTGCTGTCTATGAAATTAATGTCCTGCGGGACAGGAGCCAAAACCCTCCTCAGAGCAAAGGTGAGAGCCTTTTTTTACTCCCAATGGAAAGTTTCAGTTCTGAGAGTATTGTGTATCTTATTCAGAAGTTTATTTTGTTTGAGGCTCTCTTGCCTTTATCTGTGGGTCAAGAGAACACATGATCTCTATATTTGGAATGTTAGCAAGAAAACATAGTGTCAACCCCAGATTGAGGAAAGGCTACATTGGGTGCCTTACTAGGATTATTCTTCATATGTAGAAGCAAACTTCAGCTTTCCATTGAATTGACAGAGCGCATCATCCAACCTTGGTCTCTGAGTTACTTCTGCACCTGTGTTTCTGAGCACATGTTTGCTTTATTCAATTATTTCTAACTTTACAGTTCAAAAATATTATGTGTAAGATGGCTCTTATTCTTGGCATAGTTCACATAAAGTTATACCATTTGGATATCTTCTTCTGGATAAGATTCACAAACAATTTGTATTGTCTTAAATCTAGAGGAACACCTTCAACATGACTGGTAACTCTTTTATCACACTTTGTCTTGAAACATGAAATAAGGCTTCTAAAGAATTGCTGGAAATGTATGGACTCTTCATCCACTCCAGTATTGAGTTGCTAATTTGAACAGGAGTTAAGATTGTATGGAAAAGCATACATATGAGTAACTAAAGCATAGCATTTCTTGAGCAAAGAATGAGGTGCATGAGCAGTTTACTTACAATAGCAGAGGAGATTTTACTGGTTATATATTCTAAATAAACTAAGGTCTAATCTGCACATGAGTAGAATGAGATATCAAGAATCTGAGATAGAGTAGACTGTCCATTAAAAAAAATCTGTGTTCTCTCAGGGGAGCACCTTGCCATCTGGGAAAAAAAATCAATATATTGAGGACTGTGTTATGTTTTCTGCTTACAGGGTGGTTGAGTTGTTTGACTTAACTGGGGAATCTAGCATTCAAAAAAGTCATTTCACTTATACATTCTGTCATCTCATTCTGTGATGGGTAAACTAAACCCAACTGAAGTGCATATTTCAGACATGAAGGTTAATTTTAATTGATCCTATCCAGTAGTATCTCCCTGTTAAGCTTGGTTTTATATATGGCTAGGTGTCACATGAAGGGTAGCACCCCATGAAGGGTAGCACTTATACAAAGTGGACTGGAACATGTTTAGTATAGTTAAGATACTAAAACATTTGTTTTAGTAGGAACCTCATCCTTAACAGGTTCAGATTTCATTTAGTAAGACTTTCCAATCTATACTTTCAGTTATCCTGTACCTTGTGCTGGAGAGATGGTTATTATGTTAAGCATAACAACTTGTTTGCTTTTTAGGGTGCTGTTTTGTTACATTTTATACCCGTAAAGCTGCACTAGAAGCACAGAATGCTCTTCATAATATGAAGATCCTCCCAGGGGTAAGGCAAAAGCATTCTTTCTTTTCTTTGTTCTTTCGGCTTACTCACATGAATCTATACTCTAGGTAACATATTTTCCATGTTGGGATATGCAAAATCTTTGGGTTCAGCTGACAAATGTTGATTTCTTTTTCTTCTGAATTAGTTTAAGTAGTATTATAAATTTCCTTCTACAACAGCTTTCAGATGAGTGGAGTTATTTTATAAAGGAATGCTATAGGTACTTTGTTCTAGAGATTTGACTTGTTTCTTCCCTGGTCCTAATTACTTTATTGTCACAGATGCACCACCCCATCCAAATGAAGCCAGCTGACAGTGAAAAGAATAATGGTAAGTGCATGCAAAACAGACTTTCTTTGATCAAGATCAGTATATTATTTCGAAAGTACCCTTGCTCTGACTTAAACAATAGCCAAGGGTTTCTATATGACCAAACTGCCCCCAAACTCCAATGCTACTTCAACATAGTTGCTATTACCCTTCACTTCAGAAGAGCTAAGAGGATAGCAAAGAACTGAACTCTTTCTGTTGAAGGGCCATTTCCCCCCCCCCTTTTTTTTTTGGACAGAAAAAAACAAATACAATCGCAACAACAATAATATAACATAACAAGAACACAATAATTAAAAAGAATAAATGAAAGAGTGCACCCACCCCGGAAACCAATATTACCATCATACACATACTATAACAATTAATAATATATAATATACTTCAGTTATACCCATATCCCCTCCAAAATTCATATAATCTTGATTGGGTTTACAGCCTTTGCCTTCTATCAGTACTGCTTTTACAAAATCTTCCCAGATTTCATTATATTCACTTGCTTTCATTAACCCTTTTTAATTTTTATTTCTGCTGTCAGTTTATCATTAATTACCATATTCCATATTTCATTATACCATTCATGCCTTTGCAAAACCCAATTTGTTGAAGAAGGGCCATTGACCAGTAACCAGGCTCAATGACTGACTAAGATTAAGAATTATTTTCAGTTGCACCCATTGTCTAATTATTGACCTGGGTGTAGAGTTTCATTCATTTCACTTGAGGGAAAAGCTGTTTCTGTACTAAGGGCAAGGACAAAAGACTTGCTTCAATCCAATGGCCTCATTCCATTTCAGAGAAGTTTTTGATGTGACACTGCAAAGTGGATGGGCTTAAAGGCAATAGGAGCAGGACCAAAAGCAAAACCAAGTTCCTTCAAAAGCTAAAGCGCTTTCTGCTAGTAACTATGTCTTAGAAGTGGTCCAATCTTTTAGAATTGGGAATGGGGTGAATGAAAGCTATGAAACAACCGACAGGTGTTTGGAGAAAAGAAGATAGGGCTAGGAGTAGAGGGTATGGCCATCTGGGGAACCCTGGAGATTCAGGTTGGGATCTCAGCCAGGACTGGGCTGGGCCCGTGGGTCTGATCAAGAAGCACATTATGGAACAGATTTTGAACAAAACATTTTCAAATAGATCCAAAGGAGTAAAACAATGTATTTGCTTGCTCACTAGAAATTATTGCTATATCTATCGAGTATAGTAAATGACAATATTTTTTAAAAGTTTTGTTTACATGTTCAAGCTTATTGTGTGTTACATAAATTTCTCTTGTATTATTAAAACATTTTCTTATGAAATGAGAATATCAGCTGTAACATATGGTTACCCTTTTATTCATATCAACATTATATGGTGATACTTTGGAGCAGAGCAGTGTGTTCAGGCTTTGTGAGTTTGGTTTATATTGGAAATTCTGTTCTGCTGATGTAAATTTCACCTGTTGCAGGATAAATTAATCACATTTCTTAGAAGTGCATGTATTTAGTGTTTTTACATTATAGTCCACTTAGGCCTTTCATGTTCTGTAGACTTTTACTGGGTTGGATCCAGATTTAACCATGTGTAACTCAGCTGGTGGAAGTGTTTTTTCCCTGTTCTCCCCACAGAGCTCCTCTGGCCCCCTGAATATGCAATACAGATGCTTGGTGGACATTGTTGAATGGAGTGTGCTGTAGTATGAGCAGGGAGGAAGGTTTTTTGCAGTGATCATGCAAGCTAGATCAATATGTAATAATTCCTGTCATCTTTATTACAAAGTACATGTACATGTTCTTTAATATAGAGACAATTTATTCAAGAGTGAGTTGATATATTTTTAGTATATAGCTTTAGAAATTCCTTGTACTCTGGTTTAGGTAATTTTATTGGATAAATATGATGGATGGCAGTAGAACAACCTGTAGACAACTTGGGGCAATCACTTTTCCTTAATCTTATCACTTCTGTCAGGAAAGTAAAAACATAAAGTCTCTTTATTTTATACATTTATTCCAACTTTGTAGATAAAAGCAACTTCCTTTTCTGTTTTATTCTTCCTTCCCTTAGCAGTGGAAGATAGGAAACTATTCATTGGGATGATCTCAAAGAAGTGCAATGAAAATGATATCAGAGTGATGTTTTCCTCCTTTGGACAAATTGAAGAATGCAGAATTCTCCGGGGTCCTGATGGCCTAAGCCGAGGTAGGCATAGAGGGATCTGATCTGCAAGTACCAATTTCCCTTCTAAGGATCGCTCATGTTCTCATTCTCAATCTCTCTCTCTGCCCCCACCTCCTTGGAAAGTGTTTGAAATCAGCAATATGCCCTCCTCACTTTTTATTTTCTATTGCTTGGTAACCCTGATACATGAAATTTATTCTGTTCTGTTCACAGGTTGTGCTTTTGTGACTTTCACAACAAGAGCTATGGCGCAAACAGCAATCAAAGCAATGCATCAAGCACAGACCATGGAGGTAAGATGTGTCATTTTGAGTGATGGGCAGGGGGAGAGATACTTGCAGACCTTATAGTTGGAAAGAGCAGATGATTTTGTGTTTGCAGCCCAATATCAGACTGTATTTATCTGATTGTGGTGTTGGCGTTCCTTGGTTTGAACCACAACATCTGGCATGTGCACCCTGCTTCAGTTTGAGAAAAAGGGGATAAGAGATTGCAAAACATAGGAATAACAGCCAAATCGTAATTTTGAAGATACTTGAAAGGTATTGTAGTGATGCATAAAGTTTATGTGAATTATATTGCAGGGATGCTCTTCTCCCATCGTAGTGAAATTTGCAGATACCCAGAAGGATAAAGAACAGAAGCGAATTGCACAGCAGCTCCAGCAACAGATGCAACAGATCAGTGCTGCCTCTGTTTGGGGAAACCTGGCTGGACTGAACACACTTGGACCCCAGTACTTAGCAGTGAGTTTATTTGTCATTATTTATGCCCCAATAATTTATGAACAAGTATAACTTGTAGTACAAATATCATGCTGAGGGTCTGTTCCAAAACTCTGGATTAGTTCTAATTTTACTTGGCTATATTGTTGAACTGAATTGTTACTACTTAAAAGCATTCACATACTTACAACAGTAATGAGGAACTGGCCATGCTTTTTGGAGGTTTTCATTCATAGCATAAATAAGGAAAATGTTGTTTTCTAACATTTAGTATGCTACCAATTTGTGTGTGGTGTTCACTGTTGTGTGGGGCATTTTGTTTACAGTTACACTATTAGTAGCACACTAGCCATGATTTGAGGGATAATATTTATCCTGGAGTTCTACACGCAGGTCAGATTTTCCCCTTTAAAAGTCATTCTTACTGAGGTCTTTGGAAATGCCAATGCTTTGTGTGTAGCTTGGCTTGGTGATGTGTGAGCAGTGGGAACTCTGCTTGTGACGGCATTCTGGCTGTGGTGTAGTGCAGTGTCTCCCAGAATTGGAGCCAGCCCTCATTCTCACTCTTGTTCTGTTTTTGGTGTAATGTCTAGCTTTATTTACAGCTCCTTCAGCAGACAGCAGCTGCCTCCTCTGGGAATCTGAACACACTGGGCAATCTTCATCCCATGGGAGGTGAGTTTGTTTCTCCCTCTACTATTTAGTTTCTGAAAATTGCTACAATAAAAGTGAAAGAGAATCAATCATGGAAGGTTCTTAACAGAACATAGTACAGTATACTAATGTAAGCCAAGATTAATCTTGGTTTCCTGTAAATGACAGTGTAAAAGAAAATCTTCTGAAAATGATTTAGATAAAGTAGGAGATCAGGTGACTATCTAACTTGTGTTCACTATTCTGATACATACTTGATGTGTATCAGTTTTAGAATCACTCTCTCATTGTCACAGCAAACTTTAATAATGCATTCTTCAGCCATGGGTATTGGCTAGCATAAGCCATATCCCTAAACAGTGAAAAGACACTGAACTTTCTGCTTTTCTCCACCCAAATTGAAGAGCAGTACAGCCTAGGAAGCACCACCACCAACATCTGTTACCACAAATGATAGCTGCAACAGCTGGGTACAGAGAGTCAGGGAAGATCAGTCCAGAGGTAATATTTGCTTATAGCTGCATCCTTCAGAAGGTTCCCCTACTTCTCCAGAAAATTCTGTATTTATTGTGTATCTTAAGGTGCGGTGTCTTTTCTGGAGAGTGTTTAATGTTCAGGCCAGTGTATAATATACATATGTGCTTCATACGGTAGGCATTCTTAAGGAAAAATATAATATTACATGAATGGAGTTCAGGTCACACAAGGGTACATTCATTCATTCATTCATTCATTCATTTATTTATTTATTTAAACATTTATTAAAACATTTCATTCCTCTTGCCTTCCCATGTCCCCAAAATCTACTCCAGCATATTCATCCTCCAGTGCTAGGGGTTGCACTGATGAAAGTCTTTTCTGTTGGCAGAAGGGTTAATCTGATACCAGCTATAACTTCTTAATATCTTCTGCAGTAGAACAACAAACAACTATACATGTTTCCCTCAGAACAATATCAAGGCATATTGTCATTGATTTTAGAGTCCAGGTATATCTCTGCTTTTTATTTTTATCTCTTTACAAGAAATGCACTTTTTAAAGGAAAGAGAATATCTTAGTTATTAGAAAAATAACAGTAAATCTAATCCTTTCCCATTTGTTAACATTCATGTAATTTATCATAGTTTCAATTTATAAACTTTTTCTTTGAAAGGGAAACTGTGAAGTAGTGGTAATGGAGAAAAAGCTAAAGTTGAAAAGGCAAGATCATTTATAAAATAAGATGTGATAAACTGAGTATATGTGTTATATATGAGAAACTGAATTCAGGACAGAAGGTAACTAACCAATTACTAATATCAGTACAGTAAAGGGGGAGGGGGGAATACCCCTGTTCAGTGGTATTAAAGAGCTGTTAGGAGATATTTGTGCTGAGACTGAAGGCCCATTTCTCTTTGTGGTCATCATTGTCTTATTAATATCATTACTATTATTTCATTTCTATACAATTTAATAGCTGAAGCTCTCTGGGTACTTTCCAGATGGATACAACATAATAAAACACCATAATGTTTTTTCTAAAATGCAAAAATTTAAAAACAATGTAAGAGCTAAAACAGTGTTTGATACAGACCCAATCAAGCCATTAAATATCCTGGATGTCAAAATGCTTCAGCATAGAGTGCTATCTTACTCAAAGAAAGGCTTCAGATGTTGATCATAATGTCTAGGCCAATTTGCTTTGGGAGAAGCACTCTGTCAGGTATTGCAATGCAAATCCGTGTAAGGTTTTATAAGACTAATCAAATAAAATCTTGATTTGGACTTAGAAGCATGTAGTCAGCCAGTGCTTGGGCCAGAACTGTTCCAGTTATTAGTCTCACTGCCATGTTTCACACAAGCTGCAGCTTCTGAGCAGTCTTCATAGGCAGCCTCACATAGAATGCATTGCAGCAATCTAATTTAGAGATTACTAGAGCCGAGATTACAGGAATCAGGCTGTCCCTGTCTAGAATGGGGTGTAACAAGGCCACTATCTGAAGCTGGTAGAAAACACTTTGGTTCACTGAGACCTCTGAGGACAAAGCAGCTGCTCCTTCAAGGGGCATGAAACCCATCCAGAACAAGTTGAACATCATCTGAGGAACTACCCCACTAACAGCTTCTTTTGTCTGAAGTGAGGTTCAGTTTCTTAGCTCTCATCCAATCCAATGTTGCAGCTAGGTCTAGAATCCTCAGAGCCTCACTTGCTGAAGATGAAGAGGAAAAGCAAAGCCGCCCGTCATCAGCAATACTGATGGCAATATACGTAATAAAATAACAATTTAATGTAGATGTTGAATAGCTCGGGGGGACAAAAATGATCCATGAGGAACTTCCTGCTGGAGAATCCAGAGGGCTGTGCTTTAGTCCATCACCCTCTAGAGCCATCCATCTAAGTAGAAGGGGAACCACTGCAGTGAGTTCTCTTCTCTGAAAGATCAGTCACCCCAGAGGATGCCACGGTTAGTGGTATCAAAGGCTTTCAGGAGTAATCAGCAGGGTCATGCTCCCTGTCTCTCTTCTGGCATAGGTTATCACATGGAGCAGCCAGAGCTGCTCTGTGACAAAATCTGGCCTTGAACCCCAACTGAACTAGATCCAGCTAATAATCTCATACAAGATTGCCTGGAGCTGATTGTTGCTACCAGCTCAGGGAGCTTGCCCAGGAAAGGAACAGTTACCACTGGTCCAAAAGGTGCTAAGATCTTCCAAGTCCAGAGAGGATTTATTATCCTCTCCTTAAACTAATAGCTGGTTCTTGCTGTTTATGGAAATAAGGCAGAGGGAAAGTAAAAACTCCTGTAATATGGGGGTTCAGTTAACTACTTCCTCATATTGATAATCATGGAGTTGAAAACACAATATTTAGTTAGGTTTTAATCGTGTTTGTTTGAAGCATTCTTACCATGCACTCTAGCCAACCAAATCTTCCAGAAGAGTTTATGTAAGATAAGTAACAAGCAAGAAAGACTAGACGTAGACTTACAATCTAAAAGACATGTCAAAAAGGGGAAGAGGGGGAGGGAAGAAAAAACATGCCAACTCAGACACTATTTCTTAATAGTACAAAATTCTTATAACATCCATATGGGATGGAAACGGTTCAGGAAGAAAAGAGACTAGATAGCTAGTCTCTCACGGGCATCTCTCACCCTGCAAATAAATATAAAGTATAGGTTCTTTGCAGAAGAACTCATGATACTCCCAAACAGCTTACCAGTTTTACCATGGCTTGTTCTCCCCATTCTTCTCCCTCAGTCCTCTAGCAGGCTCCACCACAGATCCCAGTGCTTTTTGCACCGGTACCGCTCTCTTGTAACAATCCCTTCTAATTAACTGGTCTTCTGTTTTTTTCCCCAGAACCTCAAAAATACACAGATAGGGTTATTAAAAAATAATGCTCTAAAAATTTCACAACTGTGTTCATAATTCTGAACTATTATGATTGGTCTTTTGCAGCATCTTTCTCTCAGATATCTAAAAAGTGTAGTCTTGGTTGGTGCATTTCTTTGTATTTACAGAGGTCAAAAGGAGCAGCGAAGTGGAGTAAGTAACTTACACTTACATGAAAACTGAGAATGTGACTTTGCATATAGCCTAATTTGGGTTCAGTTGCCATGGTCCAATTGAGAGTTGTCAGTTGAAAAGGGCTGATAAAGGGTAGAGGTGGTGGTGGGGAAGTAACAAAAGAAGGTGCACTACAAGCAGGTGGGGAGAATTAACAGTCAGTATTTCCCCCTTAGCAATGTAATCCTCTTGATTTTAGATGTTGAACTGAAACTTCTCAGATACCATCTATTCACAATTCATAATTCCTTCCCACCCCAACCCTGCTTTTCACAGCTCCTTTTTAGAACACTTACTATTCTGTTTTCCCAGCAATTCAAAAAAAATTACAGATATGTATACATATTTAATTGCTAAGAAGTAGATGGAGGAGAAATAGGTGCACCTGTAGCAATTGTTCTGTTACAGCAGGTGTGCAAACTTCTTTTGGATTTACTGCCCTGCCATTAAATTGATGGAAACTTCCTCTCCATTTATTTTCCAGCCATTATATTTGTGTACATTTTCTGGTCCAAAAAACTGTGCAAATATTCTTTTAAAAACCTGCAGGTGGCAGAACAGGATGGACCAAATGGGGCACCAACACTAGCGGTACTTGCTTTCCCCCATCTACTGGGGCGTAATTCAGCCACCTTCTCATAGCTTTTCTTAGAACTATCAGTGAACCACAGTAATATCAGCAGTAAGCACCCACAAAAAGTGGTGGGGGATTAAATACACCAAGTGTTGAAAAGGTAGGGGCACTTTGAAGTGTCAGTTCGTCAATTCCACCACATACACACTTTCAGCACACTTTCCTTTGCAGCTTTCCTCCTTTTCCAGTGCTGTTCAGTTGACAACTAAACAACTGGTCACTGGCAACTGTGATGAATTGGCCTATATGCAGTCTCACTTCACCAGTTTCCTTGTATGTCAACACTCCTGGATGCACCAGGAAGACAAGACTATATCTATGAGTGCACACATGCAGAAAGAAAATAATAAAAAATTATGAACACATTTGTGTAATTTTTAGACACGGTTTTTAAAAAGAGCAGCAAACCACTTACAGTTGCTGCAAAGTGCCACCTGAGCATTGCTGGAGGGACGGTCACTGAAAATAGTACGGCTGTAATTCCAAGAAGTACCAAGGTTTTTCGCTGCTCTTGCTGAGCAGCTTGCTGGCCAATCTTCATTATGAAATTGCTGTCACATGTTTGCTTTCCCAGGTGAGAATATCTGGAAGTGTTTCTTCTACTATCAGGAGCCACAGGGGCTTGACTATCATGTTTCATTTTTTTATCCAAAAGTATCTAAATGGAGATGCTGCTAGATCCACCAGTGACCTAATGGTTAATTCTAAAGGAGCAGTCCCACTATGCATTGATCGATTGATGTGTTGCAGGGTTGAATGCGATGCAGTTACAGAACTTAGCTGCATTAGCAGCTGCAGCAAGCGCAGCTCAGAGTACACCAAGTGGTACAACTGCACTCAATTCTTCCAACAGCCCTTTAAGTGTGCTCACAAGTTCAGGTAAGAGCCATTTCTTGATATAATAAATGTTGTGAGCATATGTCTCTTGTTTCAACAAGATGAACCTGAATGTGTGATTCTGCTTACAGACAAGGTGCACCTTGTAAACCTTGCAAAGACACACTGTATTGGTTGCCTCTGCAGCTGGAGTGGAGGGGCACAAAAACAGCCATGCATGGTCTGCAGTCCACACATTGCCCACCCATATCTTAAGGCCATTTCACACATGACAATAGAGGCAGCAGCCCATGATTTAGTTATTAAATCATAAATTGACATAATTAGAACAATCCTGTGCCTACGCTGGTGACCCAATTTGTTGCAGTAGTAAGACAAGTTTTGCCTCTCTCCTAAGTTGCCTGTTTGTTGTGTGTAAATAGAAGTTAAAAGAATATGCACTGTCCCATTTTAACTTAACATTTCATTGTGCTAAAAGTATAATGCTAGGGTATGGCAAGGACCGGTACTCAAGAACTTGTTCTGTAGGTCATGATCAGCCACTGAGCCATCAACCTTTCTGAGATGGTAAACTAGAACAAATATTAGAGCATACTGTGTCCTGGTATGAATTCTTGTCAAATTTGTTTGCTTCATACAGGTATTGATAGATTCACTTGCCAGCTCACCAGAGGCAAGTGCCACATTATTTATTATTTCATTTCTGTACTGCCCCACCACCAAAGTGCTCTGAACAGTTTAATCTCTGGCAAGCAGAATATCCGACATCATACAGATTCCTGCCACAAACCTCTTAATTTCACTGTAGCTTCCAGGCAGGTAAGAAGCAGCAAGAGTTTTTCTAAGCAGTAGGAAAGACTACTCTTGTTTCTTACCTGCCACATATCAGACACAAATCAAGGGATACAATTGCCTATCTCCAAAGACATTGTGCATATCAGAGAAATGCAGGGGAGGAGATTAATGGTGATCTTAGTTAATTGCTAGCTAGTAAACTAGTCTAACTTCTATGGACTTTTGCCTTTGCATTTGGATTCAAGGCATTGATGAAGCAGGGTTTCAGAGTTCCATACAATAAAGTGAAATGTTATTAATTCTGAATATTCTGGAGTCACACAGATAAAATCACAAGCATACACTCCTGGGGAATTACTAAATGTTAATCTTTGTATTTTCAAGAAATCTCAGCATGCTTTGTTCTAACCATTAATACAGCATCTTTTTCTGAGCATTTTGGAGAAGGTGGTAAGGTATGTGATACTGTTGGAAGCTGTAATTGGTGTTTAACTGTCATTTTAATAGCAGGTTCATCGCCCAGTTCCAGTAGCAGCTCCTCTGTTAACCCAATGGCTTCTCTTGGGGCACTTCAAACCTTGGCAGGGGCTACTGCAGGCCTCAATGTTGGCTCTTTAGCAGGTAAGTTCTGTATAAAATGAAAATAATGCCACCCAAAATGAACCACCTCTTTTGCCTGGTCCAAAGTTGTGATTCAGCTTGCCTTGATAATAAAGTATGTCTTGAAAAAGGGTTGATTAATGGATACTTATTTTTTTCTACATAGGAATGGCAGCGTTAAATGGTGGGCTAGGCAGTGGTGGCCTTTCAAATGGCACAGGGAGCACGATGGAGGCCTTAACTCAGGCCTACTCCGGGATCCAGCAGTATGCCGCTGCTGCACTGCCCACACTCTACAACCAGAGTCTGTTAACGCAGCAGAGTATTGGTGCAGCAGGAAGTCAAAAGGAAGGTAGGTGGGAGGCTGTGGTGGGACAATTTGGTTTTGAAGAGGTGAGGCATGAGCCCTGTACATGCTGCTGTACAGAGAACATTGTCTTCCAGAGACCTAACATCATAGAAGCCATGGAACAAAAACTCTGTTAAAATACCAGTCCTTTCCCCCTCTGGCCACATTTATAAACTGTTTCTGTTGGGTTTTGGCTACTGGCAAACATCCAGGCACTATTCTGTGCCTTCCCCTGGGCAAAGAAATGCTTTTCATTTTGAAGCCCTTGGACATTTCACTGGTATCACCTGGTATTCACTGGTATCACCTAGTCGCTGGCCAGGGCGACTTATTTTATATTGTTAATTTGTTTTATATTTTTAATGTATTATATTTTAATTTATGTTGTGAGCCGCCCCGAGGCTTCAGCGAATGGGGCGGCATAGAAATGTTTTTAATAAAATAAATAAATATTTCACCTTTGGAACAATCCTTAAATATACCTGATTCAGGAGAAAAGAGATTGTGGCTTTTGTATAGCATTTCTAAGTGTTCAAAGCATTTCATATTTCCTTAAAATGAATAACAGCAATGTAAGTTGGAAAGCTATTATTATTGTTATATTGCAGATTTCTTGGAGTGGGTCTGAACTGACAGAATAGTAGTTTGCCTAAGGAAAACCACTAAATTTATAGCTAATCTATGATTTGAACTGGAAATGTTGTGCCTCCCAGATCATATTGTCAACCACAGTTAAACCAGACCTGAACTGTTCAAAAGATGGAGAAGTGCTAGTTGGACATTTAAAAGCAACACAGTCATTTTGGCAAGGAGAAGATATAGTCCCCTCCATTTTTGGCGTACCTACTTTTGCTATGTTTTTCCCTTTTCAGTTTGCTGCTCAGCAAGTAGTCTCTGACAACGCTGCACAAATTAGTCTACATGACCTTGTTAATTTCCGTGCATGTTATTTATTCTACTTCACTGCTCCCCTTGACAGCTGAAACATGTAAAGAATTTAAACAAGCTAGACTACACATGCTGGATAGCCATGAAAGTCCACTTGTAAAAAACTAACAATAACAATAATACACAATTGTGCCATTTTTGGGGACAAAAAGTAGCTTTATAAGGGTGGAAAACAAGTGACAATCTTTCCAAAGTCCCACCTATGTGTCAGTGGAGGGTCATTGGTGTCAGCAAAGGTCACAGTTGAAAAAGTGACGGAATTTTGCTACTTCTGCCAAGCAGCTCAACTAGCATATCACCACAACCTTTGATAGAATTGCTCTTCTAGATTCAGCCAATACAGTAACCCATCATCAATTAAACAACCCCTAAAACAAGCCATGGATTGTCAGAGTGGTTTGTTGCTGTAAAATAAACCATGTGAACTGTGGCTTAACTCTGGTTAACCCAGTACCAGTCACTGGGAATTATATCATAAGGTGGGATATAAACAAACATAAAAACACAAAGGCAAACTGTGGTTTGTCTGCATGGCTGGGTTTGAAGAACTTGGTAACCATGGTTTACCAACATCCCATACTCAATTTATATTTAACCTCTGAGTGTGGTTTATTGTGTAGTCTGAACCCAGAGAGCCAGTGTGGTGTAGTGTTTAAGAGCATGGGACTGGGACTCTGGGTTCTAGTCCCCACTCAGCCATGGAGCCAACTGGGTGACTTTGGGCCAGTCACAGACTCTCAGCCCAACCTACCTCACAGGGTTGTTGTTGTGGGGATAAGATGGAGGAGGAGATAAAAGCTGCCTTGACCCCTTTGTAGGAAAAAGGCAGGATATAAATCAAAAAATAAACAAACCCCAGACATTATCTTTCAGGATTCCTTTCTCTATTGCATTTAGACTATTTCCTTTCTGCTGAACACAGGATTTAAATATCAATTTTGAGAAGACTCGTTTTTAAACAATCTATTAGATACAGCTTTCTAGAAGAAAGCAGGCAGCTTTTTCTCTGAAATAGCATTTAAGTTTAATTATTCTTGGTAGTTTATAGAATGAGTTCCAGTTCTGTGGAATGGAATGAGTTTATCTCTGTTTTTATTCTCTGTATTAAGACCCAAGGAGTTGTGCTTTCATTACATTTTATTCTAAATGAATGTTTAAAGGTCCAGAAGGAGCCAATCTGTTCATCTACCACCTCCCCCAGGAATTTGGGGACCAAGACCTTCTGCAGATGTTCATGCCTTTTGGGAATGTCGTCTCTGCCAAGGTTTTCATTGATAAGCAGACCAATCTGAGCAAATGTTTTGGTATGTTCAGTTAAGTCATTTTACTTATTTGTTTTGCAGAATGGGGAATAGAAACAGTAAACCAGTTCAGAGAGGGAGAGGGCTTTTCTCAGAAAATGTGCTGAGGAGGAGAACCTTGAAAATAGCAGAGGAGTTATAGTTGTTTAGCACACTCATATGTGCCAAAATGTTGATGCCCTTCTAAAAAAAGAGACACTCTTTAAGAAAAACCCTCAAATGAAATAAAAGTAACCTTTTGAGTGTACAGTTCTTAAGAACAGGAGTCCTGGCATGCCATGAACCTTACTAGAGTAACTTGAGCAGCTTGTATCATAATGTGCTCCTTAGTGAGGTCGAAATGATAGAGCTTGTATATGTTGTGAGTTCCCCTCTTTATGAAGGAATAAAAAATATAACTAGACTCGTTTTCTTCTGCTTTTTGGCATTCATCAGTTAACTGAGAAGTTTGGTCACAAAGGCAAGCCTGTGCAGCTCAAAACTCATCAAGTGGAATGCAACTTGCCAGATGTATGTCTTGACCTGGCACATGCTTGACAACAGTTGATTCCCCATCCTAGCCACCAGTATTAAACATAAACATTGTGTGACCATAAATGATAGTGACTGAGAAATTTCTACAGGGTCTTAGCACTAACTGTGATTCTTACCTGCTTTGTTGTTGTTAGTCACAAAATAATGTCTGACCCATCGCGACCCCATGGACTACATTCCTCCAGCCCTTCCTGTCCTCTACCATCCCCTGGAGTCCACTTAAGCTCACACTGACTGCTTCAGTGACTCCATCTAGCCACCTCATTCTCTGCCATTCCCTTCTACTTTTGCCATCAATCATTCCCAGGGTCTTCTCCAGTGAGTCCTTCCTTCTCATTAGGTGGCCAAAGTATTTGAGTTTCATCTTCAGTATCTGGCCTTCTAAAGAGTAGTCAGGGTTGATCTCCTCTAGGACTGACCAGTTTGATCACCTTGCAGTCCAAGGGACTCACAGGCGTCTCCTCCAGCACCAAAATTCAAAGGCCTCAATTCTTCAGCGCTCAGCCTTCCTTATGGTCCAGCTTTCACAGCCATACATTGCAACTGGGAAAATCATAGCCTTGACTATACACACTTTTGTCAGTAGGGTGATGTCTCTGCTTTTTAGTATGCTGTCTAGATGTGCCATAGCTTTCCTCCCAAGGAGCAAGCGTCTTACAATTTCTTGGCTGCAGTCCCTGTCTGCAGTGATCTTGGAGCCCAGGAAAATAAAATCTGTCACTACTTCCGTCTCTTCCCCTTCTCTTTGGCAGGAAGTTATAGGACCAGATGCCATGATCTTAGTTTTCTTGATGTTCAGTTTCAAGCCAACTTTTGTGCTCTCCTCCTCCACCCGCATCAAGAGGCTCTTTAGTTCCTCTTCACTTTCTGCCATGAGAGTGGTATCATCTGCATATCTAGCCCTGCCTTTCTCATGATGTGTTCTGCATTAAGTTAAATAGGCAGGGCGACAGTATACAGCCTTGCTGAACTCCTTTCTCAATTTTGAACCAATCAGTGGTTCCGTGTCCAGTTCTCACTGTGCTTCTTGACCTGCATAGAGGTTTCTCAAGAGACAAATAAGATGGTCTGGTACTCCCATCTCTTTAAGGACTTGCCACAATTTGTTGTGATCCACACAATCAAAGGCTTTAGCATAGTCAATGAAGCAGAAGTAGGTGTTTTTCTGGAACTCCCTAGCTTTCTCCATGATCCAGCGTATGTTGGCAATTTGATCTCTAGTTCCTCTCCCTCTTTGAAATCCTGCCTGTACTTCTGGTAGTTCTCGGTCCACATACAGCTGGAGTCTAGCTTGTAGGATTTTGAGCATCACTTTGCTAGCATGTGAAATGAGTGCAATGGTGCGGTAGTTTGACCATTCTTTGGCATTGCCCTTCTTTTGGATCAGAATGTAAACTGACCTTTTCCAATCCTGTGGCCACTGTTGAGTTTTCCAAATTTGCTGGCATATTGAGTGTAACACTTTTACTGCATTGTCTTTTAAGATTTTGAATAGCTCAGCTGGAATACTGTCTCCTCCACTAGCTTTGTTGTTGCTCAGACTTCACATTCCAGGATGTCTGACTCGAGGTCAGTGCCCACCCCATCGTGGTTATCAGGGACACTAAGCTCTTTCTTGTATAGTTCTTCTGTGTAATCTTGCCACCTCTTCTTATTCTGTTCTGCCTCTGTTAGGTCCCTGCCATTTTGGTCCTTTATTACGCCCATCTTTGCATGAAACGTTCCCTACATATCTCCAATTTTCTTGAAGAGATCTCTGGTCCTCCCTATTCTATTGTTTTCTTCTATTTCTTTGCACTGTTCATTTAAGAAGGTGTTCTTATCTCTTCTAGCTATTCTCTGGAATTCTGCATTCAGTTGGGTGTATCTTTCTCTTTCTCCCTTGTCTTTCGCTTCCCTTCTTCCCTCAGCTATTTGTAAAGCTTCCTCAGACAGACATTTTGCTTTCTTGCATTTCTTTTTCTTTGGGATGGTTTTAGTTGCTGCCTCTTGCCTCCGTCCATAGTTCTTCAGGCACTCTATCAGATCTAATTCCTTAATCTATTTGTCACCTCTACTGTATATTCATCAGGGATATGATTTAGGTCATACCTGAGTGGCCTAGTGCTTTTCCCTACTTTCTTCAACTTAAGCCTAAATTTTGCAACAAGAAGCTCATGATCTGAGCCACAGTCAGCTCCTGGTCTAGTTTTTACTGACTGTATACAGCTTCACCATCTTTGGCTGCAGAGCACAGAGTCAATCTGATTTCTGTGTTGACCGTCTAGTGATGTCCATGTGTAGAGTCGTCTCTTGGGTTGTTGGAAAAGAGTGTTTGCTATGACCATCGTATTCTCTTGACAAAATTCTACCAGCCTGTGCCCTGCTTCATTTTGTACTCCAAGGCCAAACTTGCCTGTTATTCCAGTTATCTTTTGGCTTCCTACTTTACCATTCCAATCCCCCATGATGATCAGGACATTATTTTTTGGTGTTAATTCTAGAAGGTGTTGTAGGCCTTCACAGAACCCGTCAACTTCATCCTCTTCAGCACCAGTGGTTGGGGCATAGACTTGGACTACTGTGCTATCGAATGGTTTGCCTTGGATTGGAACTGAGATCATTCTGTCATTTTGGAGATTGTATCCCAGTACTGCTTTTCCTACTCCTTTATTGACTTGAAGGCTACTTCATTTCTTCTGAGGGATTCTTGCCCACAGTAGTATACCTGATGGTCATCTGAATTAAATTCACCCATTCCTGTCCATTTTAGTTCACTGATTCCTAAGATGTTGATGTTCAGTCTTGTCATCTCTTGTTTGAGCACATCCAGCTTGCCTTGATTCATGGATCTTACATTCCAGGTTCCTATGGAGTATAGATCTTTGCAGCATCGGACTCTCCTTTCACCACCAGATACATCAGCAACTGAGTGTCCTTTCGGCTTTCTGGCGCTACTAGTACTAGCCCTCTGCTCTTCCCCAGTAGCATATTGGACACCTTCCGACCTGAGGGGCTCATCTTCTGGAGTCACATCTTTTTGCCTTTTGGTACTGTCCATGGGGTTTTCTTGACAAAGATACTGGAGTGGGTTGCCATTTCCTTCTCCAGTGGATCACGTTTTGTCAGAGCTCTCTGCTATGACCTGTCCGTCTTGGGTGATCCTGCACAGCATGGCTCATAGCTTCATTGAGCTACACAAGCCCCTTCGCCACGACAAGGCAGTGATCCATGAAGGGGCTTATCTGCCTACTTGCAATAAATTAAGTACCCAGTTTCCTTTCTTTATACCAATCTAGACAGCTTTGCCACAATGGCTTATTTGTAGAGTTTACTTTATCCTACATGGCTTTTGTGGGGTCAGATGATACTGATACTCTCTGCTGGTTAGCATAACATACTCTGTCAGAATTAATTACAAAAGGAATTACTTCCTAACTGGTACATTATTCATTTAACAAGACAATTAACAGATCTAGTGGGAAATTTATCCAAGTTAACCTCTTGATTATGCTAATGTCAGAATTTCCTTGCTGTCAGGCTGGCTAGAGAAATAAGTATCTTCCTAATTTTGGCACATTCAACACAGTTTCTAGGCAAACAACAAAAATAGAAGACTTCTGGAGCCCCTGTTCAGTATACAGAGGCTCCATAAGCCTGTGCTTAGTTTGGTAGATCACAAACACTGCAGACCTGCTGTTTGGTAAAAAGAGTATGGGCCAGTATTTTTCCCTTCACTGTAATGCTTAGCAGGGCATAACCTTAGACTGGAGTTTTCTTTGCAGACATTTTAGTGATGGTCACTTCCCTCTTTCATCCCCTAGTTTCTGTGTCTCTACTGAATCCATTTATGCATAGTGTCTTTCCAGTCACTTGTCAGTATGCTGCTGTTTGTATTAGCTTAATATAAACTCAGTTTTGGATATGACATGCATTTTATTTATTAGCACACATTCTAGTGATAAGTAAATTTGTATAATTTATAAAATTTCAGCTATTGGTTCAGAGAATACACAAAGATGTTTAGAATGCTAAACCACACAAACAATGGATTGTATTCTCTTGCATAATCAGAAAGCTATTGCTGCTTGTACAAGACAAGCCCATCTTATTTTGCAGATTTCTCCATCCCGCTGCAGCCATTCCACACCGTTCCAGATGAAGGTTTTGCAGAGCAGTAGGGAGCTTTAGTGAGGAGAGCAGGAAAGTACCATTTCATGAGCAGAGTTTTGCTTGTTAGTCTGACCTGCCATGCATGGTGTTTTACCTTGGCATTAAGCTTCTCAGCTCCTACCACCCTCTAGGAGAATCTTATGCCTTCTCCCCACAAAAGATAGCAGATAACTTTTCAAGGAGGGACCCCATGAAGGACAGATTCTTTTAGGAAAGCTCACACACCCCTACCTTTGTCTAGATAAAGAAATTACAATTCATGTTCTAACCCATAGTATTGGCAATGTTGCTTGCCACTCTCTTATGATCTAACTGTTTAGTTGTTATCTATGTGCCCACAACTCCTGTTTAGCACTATCTCACTCTGTGTGCATGTGGTGGGGGTGGGAGGTGGATTTATAAACACTGATCCATTTTGCCACTCTGGGAGCAGAATTTTAAAATTGACAACATCTTCCTATTTCCTGCAAAGTATCAATTTGTTAAATTTCAAAACGGACAAGTTGTTTATACCACCTGGTATTGTATTTCTGTACTGTTGTCTTTTTTTACATGATGCAACTGAATGTAACAATATATGTAATGAGCCTGAGTCTGTTCATATGGTTTAGATATTGCAAATGCGTTGACTGGTAGCTTTTCAAGCAATCCAGCCATTTCTATATTTACACTTGCCAACATTTTAGATTTTCAGTTTAATTGGCACATGGCATCATGGTTCATTCCTCAGCACAATACCCTGCCAGGTCACTGACCATTGGTCTTTGAGGACCAGCTTGCTAGGATATGGTCACCATCCTTGGTTGCAGTGACCTCAGAAACACTGCTTTGAACTTGGTATGATTTCCCTTCTGTTTAGTTATAACTCAGTTAGTGTCCTTCCCCACATATGGAACCAGTTTTACAGTGCAATCAGAGGCTGGTACTGGAAGTACTGCAGCTGAGGATAAGACACCCCTATTTATTTTATTATTCCTACATTTAACTCATTCCATATCATGGGATAACTGGCAACCTCCAGCTCACATTCTGTAATTTACACATAAGTAAGCCTACCAACTTGTTCTTGTAAGACATTGTCACAAAGTGCCTAGTCTAAAACATGCTCACATGTCAGCTTCCTACCTTGTATGAGTTGTTTTAATAAAATAGAACATGCCCAGAGCACAGAAGTACCCCAGAATATCCATAGAAATAGCTGTGTAGGGTACTTTTGTGCCCCAGACAATAGGCCCTCTAAAAAGGAAACTTCAATACAGATCATACTGGTCTTTTTTAAAATCTAAGATTCTTAGTTAAAACCACTAGCAATAAGAATTAAAATCCATTGAGGAAAGATTGCACTATGTTTTTTTAAAGTTAGTAGGCAAAATCATTGCTATAAGGCTAAAAAGTCAATTGACCAAATATTGTTGTGTATATTTCCTTCTTTGCACAACCTCAGGAAGGATTAAATCTTGAATTGTCTGTATGTGTTGATAGCTGAAAGCAGATTTTATGTTAATTAAATTCTGAAGGAAAATTTCAGCCAGAGCAAAGTCTTTTCAAGTGCAGTTTTGTTTTGTTTTGTTTTGTTTTTTGGCCTGAGCACTTTCATCTAGGGTATAAAATTATCCCACATGCCCTAGTGCTGGGTTTTTTTAAATGCAGGAAATTAAACTTGCCAATTAAAGAATACATTTGCACCCATAGGCTGTATGGACATGTTTCTTCCATTTCTTTGTATCATCATATAGGGGAGACAGTGGCCTCACATATTTTTTTTAACGTCAGCCATGTTATAAATTTAAACTATGGTTGTGTCAGTAGTTCACATAGTTTATATCTGCAGTACAAATGTAAAACACTAATGATGATGTCAAACTAAACATACTGCTGCTAGTACTTTCATGCTGCTCTGATCTTTCTCACATATTTTAACTTTTCTTTTTCTTAGGTTTTGTAAGTTATGACAATCCAGTCTCTGCACAGGCTGCCATCCAGTCAATGAATGGATTTCAGATTGGCATGAAACGACTGAAAGTACAGCTCAAGCGCTCTAAGAATGACAGCAAGCCATACTGAGCGCCCCTCCCCTTTGGAACTGGAGTGAGAAGGATCTTCTGGTAAGTTGGGGAGGAGTGCGCATAGTGATTCAGAAACTCTTTAAGGCTGTATTTTTACAGTCACAGAAGCTGATTGATGTCATTCTATCTGGCACCTCTTCCCCTGAAGACTCGGCTGCAGCCTCTACTGGGAATTCTTCGGATGGAGGACAAGTTTGTGCTTTTGTTTCCAGTGTTTTACTTTGGAGTTTAGGTGCCATATCGCTTTTTTTTAAAGTTTGCTGTGTTTGTAACCAGTGTGTTTTGAGAAGGACCAATGCCAGCCACCTTGGGGAGGAAAGGAAAACAGCAGATGCAATTGGAACTGACACTGCATGACTTAGACATGAGGAAGAGGAGAAAGAACTTGCCAGAACCCAAGTGATATTCATGAAAAGCGGGGAGTGAGATGATCTAGTTCCAAACCACTTGGTGGCTGGTTAGTAAATAGACCCTACAAAACCTTGCCAAACTCTCATTTTCCCAGATTTACTTAGCTAATGCCTTATGTGAGGACTTCGTACAGAATAATTCACTAGTGCAGGAGAAAAGTAGCTGGGCAAAAATATTCATGTGTTGAAGGAAAACTGCAGTGATGAGAATGCTACAGTACATCTCTGTAGTGTAGTGAGTCTGGCTGCAGCATAAAAATGAACTAACAACATTTTTTGATCAAACATTTACAGTCCAGCCAGAGCAGCAATTTAAAAATTAGGCACAGCCAAACCAGTCAATTTAATGCAGATGTCTTAACTTATGATCTGCTGTAAATTCTATTGTATTTTGCAGATTTTCTGTATTGCTTCTTACTGTACATAAAGATGCAACTAGAATCAGTACTCATAAAGTACAGCTTAAACCCTCCTTAGTACTAAACTGACAGATGGCTTGTAAATAAGTTCACATTGCTCTGATTTCTGGCATTCTGCTCTTTTGCACACTTTCTGCATGTGAGTGTCCAGAATAATACAGTCCCAAAGGACTTTTTTCTTACTTTTTTCATCCAAACTACCGTTATGCTACATTGCAGTTTTCCTTTGAATGCATGTGCCATTGTAAAGCATTAAGGTACATGCAAAAGGCTGAACCTGCACACAATCTTGATCCTGCCTTTATATTGTTTGTAGTCCAATACACAGTTACTCAACAGTGAAATTTATTCCCTTGGTAATACACACCTGCTTTTTTGCATGTGTGTTTGCCAATGTGTTAAAGGAATTTTTGTGCACACTGACAACATGAGTCTAACAAGATGTTTTAACTTTCTGGCCTGAGCAGTGGCAAGGTCGATAAAGAATATAACCCTAGAATCACAAAAGCCATCTCTGTTCATGGGGAAATTTACAGCATTATGCAGAGATTCAATATACTCTTACTTCCACAGTATATACTCTTTCCCATATCATCATGCTTTTTCACAGTACACCAGTCAACTCACAGGTTTTGTGCTTGGAAATTAGGTATTTAGGGGGAGAAGGAAACAGATTAAAATAACATTAGCTTTCAATTCATTCCCATCAGGAAGAGCCACACAATTCATCAAGCTTTAAATGCTATTTCAGAAGTTCTGGGCATAATAAAGCTTAGTAGGAGAATCCAACATGACCAGGGACTGGGTCCCCTGGTCTGTTAAACCTCAGAAGTATAAATTGTGTAAGGCCATCCATCTCAGGCCATGTGAAATTTTTGGATGAATTTGGAAGTTTGGTTGTCACAAACGTATCTGTAATCTTGCTGGGTGGCATTATATAAACTTTTAACTGTCAGTATTATACGCATACATAGCAGTGGCAAAAAGACTGAACAGTCAGGCTGCCAAATTTCCCATTTATGCTGGCATATGGTATCCTTCTGTGTTGAATATTTAGGTCTATTCAGAAGCATATGCATACACTTAGGTGAACTGTATACACTGAATTTTGTGCACTAGGAAAAGTTGTGTCCTGATATTCTGAGGGGGGAAAAGTGTTGGAGTGTTGAGGCTTCCAGAGTTGTCATGGGATTTTTTTTTATAAATAATATACTTTTCAGGAAAAAAATGGTCATGGTTGGGAGCAGCTGCTCCAGGTGCAACCTGATATAGCCAAGAATGTTGTTTCTATTTTTATAGAAGTTTTATACTGCTCTAGGATGGAGAATATTTATTATCTAAATTATTTCACTGGAAATGACCAGGGTTTGCATAATCCTGAATGTGATTGTGTTACACATACATACAACAATGTACATGATTGAAACTACTGACTTTTTGGTGGCCTGTTTGCAGATGGACAAACTGCTAAATAGGAAAAGAATTAATGCTGTGAACTAGTGGAGGGGGAAAGCTGTGCTCAAGTTTCTCTATAGTCACTCCTCCCAGTACCTCCTCTGTCCCCTTCCTCCTCTCCTAGTTCCTTGTTTGTTTCTCCTTTGGCCACCCATTTTGTCTTCTCTGAATAATGTGTTCTGTCACTCTTTATTTAATGGTCATAATTTTCATAACCTATCTGTACACTCTCATTATGGCCCCCATGAATTAAATCATCATCCACTGAATTAACAAGATAACAGCTATAATATTTTCAAAGAAGTATGAATCATGTGAGTGAATGTCCTTATCCCAAGTGATGCTGTTACTAAAGTACAAATATCCATGTTAAAGTCCAAAAATCAAACATTTGGAATATATTGGTAAAGTTCTTGTGCCTTCAGTGCTGCTTCTCTGAGTTACTTTAGCTGGAATACTTGAACCAAACTATGCCTTTCTCCTCAGTTCCACTTGATCTATTGATCTGGCTATGCATGTTTTTCAGATCACATAATAAATTAATTATCTGGGGTAGGTTCTCTAATGGAAAAAGATATATATCTAACATGTCACACTGCTTTCCAGTCTTGATCCAATCTGTCATGTGTGTTGTTTTTCTGCTTAATTTATTCCTTCCCCACCTTCCCTTTCTAGTTTTGAGCTGTTACTTTGGCAGGAAGCCCTGGATATTATCATGTGTTCTGTCCTTCTGAAACAAATCAGATTGGTCATCTGTGTTTAGACCAGTGCAACAAATAGATCATATTGAAAAGCATACTGATTAGTTGTGCTGTATCAAAATAGCTATACATCAAATTATATTTAACCATGAACATAATTTTAGGTGCATTTTAGATTAAAATAGAATAGAATTGAGTCTTCAAATATATGGAGACATCAGACTGGAATGAATAAAGAAAAACATGTTATACTAAAAAGTATTGCATGCAGGCAGTATTCATGAGGCAAATAATAGAAGTATCACTTTCCAAAAAAGCCTTATTTTTATAAAAAATAAGAAAAGATAGACTCTTGTCAGTTGCTGATGGATTTGCTGTATGAGCATATGGATTTTCTTTGTGACTCTTTCACCTGTGAGTGTGCCTTGCTGATGCTTGTGAATGTGTGGATTTGCTGGTGCAAGAGAGATTCTGTCTGGTATACTTCATATTAGGAATGAAAGTCCCAACAATACTGTTTGTTAGCCTGACATAGTTAACTTCTGTAAACTTCTCATTCCCTCATTAAATGCACTGGGTTTGATCCACAGTCTGCCCCCACCAGTGGGAACACTCCCCAAGTGAAGTTCATCTCAGGACATGCCAGTTGGAAGGCAGTTTTTGCCAATCCCTCTTCCTTCCACAGGCTCCAATGACACCTTCACTGTTCCAGGGTGCGGGAGGTATAGGGGACTGTAGGAGGAGTGTAATAAGTAAAGATAACTTCGTTGCCTGCTTGGACAGCAGAAATGTTCCTCTCTTATCAGAAGGCCTCTCCTGATAAGAGCCCTTCTGTCTGTGGAACAGACTTTGGGTCTGAGCCAATGTTTTCTCAACCAAAGCAATGTTCAAATCAACTATAGTAGCATAGCCTAATACTTGTCAAAATAAATAACAGGTCATGATCCATTTAGAATAGGATAGCACGGGAGGACGTTATAGGGTCACTGACTGTAAATATAATTGTTAAAACAGGATGTCAGGAAGTACCTTTGAGAGCAAATGGAAGAGAATTTAGGGTAGATCTAAGTACATTTTCCCCAGTAATCACATGCTGCCTCAGTTTTTTGTGTACACCATCTCATTAACAGATTGCATAAATGTATTTGTCCTTGCAAATTATGTCTTTTGTGTTATGCCCTCTATTAGAGATTCTGTCAGCTCTAAAAATCTCTCTCGAGTTGTTTTGGACAAAATACCTTCCATTCAAGCTGGCAACAGTGACTGTAGAACTTCTGAGAGTCCAGAATTCCTCCTCACAAAATCAGGGAGCAGGATTTATTTATGGAAAGAGTTGCAAAAAGTTTATTTGCAGGTATCATAGTAAAAAGGGCTCAGCTAAGGCAAGTCCTACTTGCTGTCAAGTCTTAATTCCTTCCTATTTCATAGGGGTTTCAGTTCCACCTTATGCCACTTTTTTGGTTCTCCTTGTTTCCTAAAGAATAACTGAAACAAAGAGGATGGATTACTTGGGCTGCAACTGCCTAAGCAGGAAAAAAGAAAGTATCTCAAGTATCAATCCCCCAGTGATTCTTTGTCTCCCGTCTCTGAGAAACTGAACCTCCCTGGAACTACATTTTACGGAGTCAGGTTCCAGTGAAGGGAGCTAACTGTGTTGTCTTCCTTGAGCAGAGGTAGAAGGAACACTGGCTCAGGGCTGTGATGAAAGCATAGCCACTATGTGCCACTGTGCCATAGTCCCTTCTGTAGCCAGTGTCTAAAGGGAATCCTAGGTCTCTGCTTCAATTTGATTTCCAGCAGTTGTTCTCATTTATTCAGAGTCTTACACACTTCACTTTTTACTTGTTCATTGTCGGCATGTGCTGCCCTCCCCTGTCAACTCCCCTCCCCGAGAGGTCTCATTGTACAGTGCCCATTCCTGTTCTCTCTCTCTCTCTCTCTCTCTCTGTTTGGATGTACTGCTCTGTGTAACTCAGTGGGTCTCCTTCTTTCTGGTTTGTTTTTTTTTCTAGATTCCTGCCGTTTGTTCATCGTTGTGCCTAAAGCATGTCGATGTGGCGTTCAAGTACATCGTCCAAATCCTTGTCTCTTCAGCTTCTCTGATGCTTGAACTCTCACCTTTTGACCTTGTGTTGACTTTTGATGCTGATGTGTATTTTTATTATGTTTGTTTCTTCTTTCTTTTTTCTTTAATCTTTTTTTCTTTTTTTCTTTTTTTGTGCTGCCAAATTGGTTTTGCTAGAAAGACTGCTGAAGGGGAATATTTAAACTTGCATTTGAATATAAAAGAATTCTATTTTTCTAGAACTTCGTAAGATAACCACTTGATTTTGTGATTCTGATTCTTTGTAATTGTCTTCAGAGCAGCCTTGCTAGCATACCTTGTGGAGTATTTGTATTTCTGTGAACATACAGCCAATCACTTTCTAGGCTTAGTTTTTTCTGTGTGCTTAGTTTTAAAACAAATCTTTGAAGGAAAAAGTAAAACGATGCAACTTAAAACTTTCAGGAGGCTTCTGGTCACACTTTGCTGAATCTACTTTCTGTGCTTGAGGAGACAGCATGTATTCTTTGACTTGAGTAGCCTCAGCAGAAAACACTTGAACTACACTTTCTCCTGATTGTAGCTGCATTTTTGCCCTGGCACTTACTGCTTTTTCCTTCCTGTGTGATTATCAGCCTTTGTCTGCAGTGAAAGTTTAATCAAAGTTGGTGTTGTATTTTGTTAAACCCTAGCATGCTTAGTTTTTTGTAACTACAATCTCCTCAGCAAAATGTGAGATTTTGTTTGTTTTTTTCCTTTAAAAACTCAAATAATGCCCTTGTAAACGTTTTGCATGTTTCCTGCTGTGTTCTTCACAATCTTGTATATATACACCCTTCACCTCTGTTTTCTATAGTTTGTGCAAAAACTGAGCAATTTAATAGGTTTCAAAGCTGTCCTTTTTGGGATGCCAGACTTGTGGTCATATGTCACGTCAGGACATCTCCTGTGCATTTAGACTGCTCTACACAGTATCTACACCTTGCTCTATCATCACAGCTATGGAAAGGTCTCAGGGGGCTTGATTGCACTGTTCTGGTGGTGGTAGTGGTGATGGTGGCAGCAGGGATAGAAGTTCAACAGAAAGATGTGGGATGTTTGCAGTAATATTGCTTCTAAGATCCATTGGAGCTCCAACTCCTTTGGAGTAGCCTTAATTTGTACCACTTGTTTAATATGTGGCTTGCTTTGTGAGATTTAACAGCATCAAATCTCAGTGGATTGAAGCACGATTGCTCTCCAGTCTTTACACTTGAAGTAGCATGTTCTGTATATCCCATAGAAGGAACCTGTAATCCTAGACACAAAACTGCTGGCTCTTTCTCCAAGTGACAAGCACAATATAACAGCCTATTAGCTGTTACCTAACAGGGTACCAACCCCGGCTCCTTTTCTCAGGGGCCTTAGCTGGGGATCTCCTCAATGGAGACTTTTTTTTTTAGTTTTTGTTCTTAAATTGGGTAAGGAGTCATGCAGTTTTTCTTTTTTCTTCCTTCCCCCTTTCTTTTCCTCCCCCCTCCCCCCCCCATTGCTTTCTGGCCTGATGAAGAAATAGGACAGATTATCCTTCTTTGGGAGACATGCTTCAGCCTTGCTGCATGTATAACCTACTGTAGAAGCTGAGACTTTAGTACTGGGTTTAGCAGCACCTGCAAGAAATTCCTGTAGTAGGTGCCAAATCACAAGGAGCAAAGAAGTAGGGAAGCTAGGATGGAACTTCAACGAGAAGGAGGAGTGTGAAGCAAAACATATGAAGAGTTAGGGGTGTATAAGAGACCTATCTAGGCCATATAGAATGTTAGTTTGTTCTACTGGGGACAAAAAAGCCCCCACCCTATTTTTGGGTGGGTAATATTTCTCCATGCTTGGTAGATAAATATGCATTAGGTAGCTTTTCCTCAGCTTTGAGATGATCACCTTTTGAGGGTGAACGTTGCTTGAAAAGGGATATGGCTGTATTATCTGGGGGTACAGCTGTGAGATGGTTGCTCATAGGCTTACAGTCACAATGCACAGGGATGTCTGATGGCAGGGAGGCCGAGACCCTGCAATGTATTGATTAATTTTGCCAATACATTTCTTTACAATGTGCGTACAGTTTCATGAGGAACTCTGGAGAATCCTGTGGAAAAAAGTCTCTGGAGAAAACCAAAATGCCAAACATTGGATGTTCCTTTTCTTTCTTCTTTCCTTTCTTTCTTTGGTTGTTTTAATTATTCTGTGGTGGTTTTAATGAATTTGAGACAGTAAAGCAGCAGCTGCCTTTTATTTCTGGCTGCTTTTTGTGAATAATTTAAAAAAAAAAGAAAATTTACATTTTGGAAACAAACCTGTGGGCTTTTTTATTGGTACAAACATTGTATTTAACACTAGGGGTTTTGTACAGTTTTTTGCCTTTTCTACTAGAAAACAATGTAAAGTGATTCACAAATGTGACAAGAAAACAAATTGCCACTATGACCAAATGTAGAGTCTGTTCTGCAGTAACAGGATTTAATCAACTCAAAGTCGTGATTCTGTTGTAGCAATGCTTTTCTTTATCTTGTTTGAGCTGTTCCTTTTTTCTTGTTTGGTTTGCAAAACAAAATGTCTTTTTTGTGTGAAATTGTGTTGTACTCTGTAGAAAATTATGGATTTTTCTTTAATGGTTTAAAAAAATAACAGAAGCACATGTTGCTTTTCTGATCACGGAGTTTGTGTAGTGGATTTAAAAATGAAAGTTTTGTTACAAGTTTGGAACAAGCAAATATGTATTATGGAATTTTCTTCCTTTTGTGTGTGATTTCTTTTTGTCCCACTGGGGAACTTAAAGCTGTTTTAATTGCACAGACACACAGACAAGAAGTCATTTTGTATATGCCAAGTGTGGTACCTCCCTTTGTTTATTTGCTATTAAACTGTTTGAGAAGAATTTTTCTGTGTCAGCCTTGTACTTATACATGACCAGTATGTGGGTACATTAATATTAGAAAGTGAGAGAAGGACAGATCTAAACATAGCAGAAGATAAAGTCTTCCTTGTGAGACAAATGCCTTGGTGCTTATGATATATCTTCCGTTCTGTGGTTTGAGTGCATTCCCCATCCCTCTTGCTTTAAATTAATCCCTTAGAGCCCTTTCTACCCTTTTCAGGTTTAGTTTCTATCTGGAAAGATAAGTTGGCAAGTGAAGAATGTATTCATGTGGGGTTTCTCTAGAAATACATCAAAGCTAGTACTTCCAGTGTGATCATATATTTGAAAAGATTGCTCAGTAAGTAGGGATATTTGATCAGTATACAGTACATATGATACTAGATATAGATGCATGTTCTCTTTCACACACAATTTTACCCTGTTTTGTCTACTTCCAGTAAGATAAGACTTAGAAACATAGAAACGGAGTGAGTCAGAAGGGGCCTCCTGGGCTATTTAGTCTGACCCCTGGCTCCAGCCGGCTCCACTCATGACATGCCTACCATGTGCATTTTTATGTTTTCAGTCCTTTGATCTATAACCATGAAGCTCAGCATTCTATATTATAATAACGCCCACTCAAAGCCACAAGCAAGTTCATAAACAAGTAGCAATATTCTTTCTAAAGTGATCTAACAGAAACAGGTATAAAGTCTTTTAAATACAGGCACTGCCCCACTGACTATCTTGCCAGTAGTCATTGCTACATCCATTCTGTAAGTATATAATAATTCTAAAATCATTTTATACTAAAGACCATGCTAATATCAATAACACTAACTTCCATAGATAAATCTTGCATCAAATGAAGCTGTGATTTCATGGACTGAATCTTTTCTTTTTGAGTAATTTCATGATTTTATTCCTATGATCTTACAGTTCGCATGAGAACATCTCTGACAAATATGTAGAGTAAAATGTCCCAACTATTTCGGTACTCTGGTTCTCCAGGTATTCTATGTCCTTTAGTTAATGAGACAAATAGAATTGCTCACAATATCACAGTGCTTGTTTTCCTGTTTGAGCCAAAGGGTATACATAGCCCAAGACATTGTCTCTGGCAATAGCCACATTCTGGGTATGGATGTACAGTAAATCAGTATAATGGCACTGTGATTTTTGCTTTGATCTCTTTCATAATTCCTAATTCATATCTTTCAGTGTCACAGCAAGCCAAGATGCTGCTTTCTGCTATAACCCTATTTTTATTGAGTATATACAACTAATTCGTAGCCATCAGTATATGTGTATAAATTAGATTATCCATCCTACAAGTGAGCAATTCTGATTTAGAATTAATTTGTCAGGTCTGGCAACATCTTGCATTTTTATTGTGCTGCTTCAAAATACTATGACATCCTTAATTTACTGCACATAGTTGTCTTTTATAAAAATCCTCTTCAGTACTCTGGAAAGTATATTCTGCCATATCAAGCATAGTTGACTCGGTTAAAAGAAAATGACTTGAATAAGATCATGAGGATTAGACAGAAATTCATTTAGAAGCCAGCTGTGGTATAACTTTTAATACCCTGAAGGAAAATATGATTAAGATGAGATGCAACCGTGTTTTTCTTATAGTGAGGGTATTTATGCATTATTAATTTTCAACCTGCTTGGATCAGCATCTTTAAAAGACTTTAGAAATGTTTTAATCAGTGTCATGAATTAGGACTGCAAGAAGGTGAATCGTGGCTCCTACACAGCAGGGTTCTATATCACAAAACTGAGCAGAAAAATTGACAGCAGAAAAATCGACCATTTAAAAGTGAGTAGAAGATGGAGGAAGCAACTGAATTGACCAGCTTGTCCATCAGTGAGAGATGGTTGTAAAAGCATCAGGTCCATAGAATGCTGATGCCAAGATGAAACTGTGGTGCTGATATAAACTTCATATTAGAAACATGAATTATGCTATACAGAAATAAATAAAAAAATTGTGCAGTGCAGTGCATTCCCTGTTGTTTTTTTCTTGACTACTTGCTTTAAAAATCCAGCCAAATGTCAGATATGCCAAGCAACCCCTATAGGTGGTAAACAAAACTGGCACTTTACACTCTGAAGACTATAATCCCTAGTTCTTCAAAGGTTCTTGCTGTAGAGTTGGGAAATTGGAGGTCTTTTGTCCCTGCCTCAGAACATGAAAAAAACCCTGTTTTCACAGGAGCCTGAAGCTAGTGCAGTTTAGAAGACTAGAAGAATGCCTTGGAATTTAGATTGGACTGAACTATTATGCTGCTAAATCATAGAAACACAATTTAGCTGCTGTGTTCAGAACATTTTTGCATCTAACTTAGTACTGTTTCTAAGAGTGGCAGTGCCTCACTTCAAATGGGTCTTTGTCAGCTATGCTTATAGTTGCCAGGGAAATGAATTTGAGACCTTTTGTATTTAAAGCATGCATATTGGCTGCTAAGGTATGGCCCTTTTCAAAGTTTCTGGTATCTGCTATCACTTGCAAATGGCCATATTGCATTGCATCTCAGTCCTGTATATGTAACAAAATGAAATGGTGTGATGGACCATAACACATCAATGTGCAGCTCTCACTTTTGAATGACTCACATATGAAGAGTTCCCTGCCCCAGCAAGCTACAAGTGTTCTCCCCTGTACTCTGTGATGGTGTACATTTTGCTATCTAATTCTGCATGTATAATACAGAGCCAAGTCTAAATTATTTTCAAAGGAAATGGTATCTAAAAAGGAGAGTACTGTGTTGCCCTCCCCTCCCCTCCCCTCCCCTGTCCTTGTGAACAGGCCACCAGAATTTTGCTCCCCTAGGCAGGACGCACTTACTCTAGCTGATCACTGGTCAGCAACTGAAGAATATAAAAATGGCAATAATTTCACTAACAAAAACAGTTATGACCCCAATTAAAGAATTCAATTTCTGACAGGTTGCCTTATGCATTGCCCTTCTAAAGGCTTGTTTCCCATTTCATTCCTAATCTGTTGGATCTTTAGTTTACAGTTTCTAGTACTCTGCCTGATTTCACCAGGTTTAAAGATAGAGTAGGAAAGCTCTCTCCAAATGACTCCCCCTGTTTCACGTTTACAACTCTGAATATTGAAGCAGGGCCATGTGAACTGGAATTTGGGAATGGCTTGGGATGATGAGAAGAAATGTGGAAATGCCTTGAGCCACAGCAATGTAAAATGAGAAGCTGCACTTCAGCAGCTGTTCCTCCTGCTCCCAAACTATTGTTGCCAAGAGACTGTCTGCTTTCCTCTGTCATTCTTTGCACCATTCATAATTTTATTAACCTTTCTTGGAGTTTCCCCTTTAAGGAGTCTCTCTTAAATAAAAAAGGCAAACAAATGAGTTAGCCATTCCATGGAGATATTCCAGTCCCTTGATCATTTGGATTGTCTGTTTGCATAATCTTTTGCAGCTCCATAATATCCTTTTCTGACATAGAATGGCCAGAACTGTACCTGATATTCTGAATGTGTTTGCAGAAAAGAATTACAATACTGGGATTTGTTTTCTACTACTTGCTTCTAATCCCTGGCCTGGAGTCTGCTGTGCCATAGCTTATGCATGCCTCCTGGATGCATTCACTGAGTTACCATACGCCTCAAGAGCTCTTTCATGATCACAACCCAGTTAGTGTATGTATGAAGCTACAGCTGTGTGGTTTGTTCCAGTTGTGCATCACTCTACACTTGTGCTGAGCCACATTTGTCAGGAATTGTTGAAGAAAGGTTTGATTTTCACTGTACAGCAGCAACAGAATATGCTTCTCTGGTATATTTATAAAAGCAGCATGCAGGGAGGGACAACGGCTGGCTCAGGCTTGCTTTCTGACCTTGGGAGTAACCAAGACTGACATTCCGGTAAAGTCATGTGACCTGGATTGGCAGGCACAGCTGTCACCAATGGAGGGGAGGGGCCATTCCGATTGAATTTCACTCCAGCCACTAAGGGTTTTTCTTTCTTTCAATTGCTGTATTTCGTTTTGTCTTCCACTTCTTTGTTCATAGATTTGGGTGGTTGTAGGAAGCTCTGAACAGCAAGCCACAAGAGCCTATCCTAGAAGGCTGGGATGCTTTCCCCAAAACCTTGGTGGTCCCACTTGCCATTGCCTGCTAACATTCCTTCAGTCTGAATCTTCTTGAGGCTCCTGGGGGCCTGAACTTACACACGATGCTGTCTCTCCTCCGTTTTTAGTTCCAACTTGGCTGCAGTTTTTTTGTTTTTTGTTTTGTTTTGGAACCAGCCATTCCCTGCGTATGGTTGGTATATGAAGCTTTCAGGCACAACAGAGATGGGTCAGGACCAGACAAAACAGCAGATAGAAAAAGGACTCCAACTTTACCAGTCCAGCCAAACAGAAAAGGCTCTTCAGGTCTGGTTGAGGGTTTTGGAAAAGAGCACAGATGCTGCTGGCAGGTTTCGAGTGCTGGGATGTCTCATCACTGCCCATTCAGAGATGGGCAGGTACAAAGATATGCTGAAGGTAAAGCCGTTTGATTGCATGCATGCTTTTCTCCTGCTGTACCACATGGGGAGCTGGGACAGATGGGGCTTTGGACAGCACTTACAACATCCCAAATTCAAATACAGCCTTTTGATTCTGCAAATTGCTGATGTGAGGTACTAGCAATGGTATAGTTTTGCAAATTGCCATCCTGCATTTCTAGACCCTGGAAATTTTTGTGATTGATCAACTGTAGTATTGATACTTGGGAATGTTATGATGCTAGGCATAGCATGAAGCCCTCCAGAATGTCTGATTTTGCAGTGTGCTACTTTTGCATAGAGGAATTTGCTTTGATGCAGGGAATATTACCTTATGGCTAGCCTTGGTATCAGTGAATCATCAGTTGCATGGAGGAACAATAGCCAGGAACACCTTTCTTCATTACTGTTATCATTTACAGTGTGACTCCCAAATGGTACGTCACTAGGTTTTCATGTAATACTAGTAGTCATATAGCACTTTTCCTAAGTGTTCAAAACACTATACATCTCTTAAGAAAGCACTGAATTTGTTGATGGGAATCTAGAACCTGACTTGAATTACCTTGAAAGGGACATTGTTGTACTTGTTTACAACCGAAGGAGAAACCCTAGGCAAACGATGCAGATGACAAGCAATGTGAGTTCAAGGGAGGCGTGCCTAGCATGAGATCCTAGTGATCAGCAACCTAGCTGCAATATATCTTTTTATTAATGATGATGTACAGAAGGGAAGCAAACATCTGTTTGTTGATGAAGTCACCAGGGCTATTTTACACAAGACACAATTTGTGGGAATAAAACAGCCTATGCTCTATCACCAAATAGATGCCTTGTTTTGTGGAATAAGATCATAATTTGGTGTTTAGCCTGCTAAACAAAATCAAAGCCGTAAAATCCATTCTTTCCTCCTTTGCTGCTTGGTCATACAAGGAAGACCCTCTCTCTTCTATCCACCATTCCCACTCACCCAGCTTGTACCAGCATCTTAAGCCATTGCATTGCATTGCATTGCATTGCATTGCATTGCATTGCATTTGTATGCTGCCCCATAGCCCACAGGGCTCTCTGGATGGCTTACAACTGAACAACAACAACATATTCCATGAAAATGCAATACGTTAGAGCAATAAAATCAGGCAATACAATATTTAACTGTAAGCAAAATCAAAACAAACTTTAATACAGTAATACTTAATGCAATACATAATATCAGTACATAATACAATGTGATACATAACACAATGAATAATATCAATAGGAAGAAGATACAGCTATAATCACCCCCATCAGTTCAGTTAAAGAAACACAGCCACACAGTCCTGTGTTGGTTACACCCACATACAACAGGGTAACCCAAAAGGCTTACAAAACAGGGCCCAGTCTCCAAGGACCCACCCAGGAAGGGTACCTAGTACGGCATTGCTCCCTTCTGGCTGGCTACTTTTGAAGCATCTCTTTTTCCGTTTGGTCTTTATCATCTCTAACCTCACACAAGTTTTTAAAAATTAAAACGGAAATTGGAAAATGCCCACCAGATTTCCCCACTGCCAGCAAAGTCGTCATCCAAATTACTTCAGGGAAGCTGTGCATCAGAAAGCCACGGATTGGGAGGGTATGGTGGCATGCTGGAGAGCTACACCTGTCTATGACAGCATTTTGATGAGGTGGCACCATTATTTAATGACATTAATTAAAGCTATGTGATACAGTGGATAAATTAGGGGGCATTTCAGTCAGCACGAATACTGCTGTTATGCTAGTAAAAGAGTCACTGAAATCTTTCCTGAAGATCGGAAATACATGGAATGAAAGGAAATGAGTAGTGGGTGGCAGTCATATTCCCCTAGAAGAATAATATAGTCAGCAGTATTACACTGACTACCCAAACTTGGTGGGCCTTCCCTACAATTTCTTCAAGCACAAACATTGAGAGCAACCCTTGGGTTGGAGAAGCATGAAATTAACCTGCAGCCATCTGAGTAGAATAACAGGAATGTGCAGAAATGTATGGCTAAGGTGAAGGGATGTGTTAAGTTGTGCATACAGGTCGCTCCATCGTTTGTCTCATGTTGTGACCATTTTGGTAGCACCTTCCACCTACCTGAAAGAAAGCTCTTTGCCTTAGTCATGTTCTTCCATTTACCTGTACCTGCTTGAAGCACAATTTCTGAGTGCTATTCACCAAGCACACACTTACTGTAGCACAGGGATGGCTGAGGAGAAGATAGAATCTAATGGTCGATCTTTCAGTGATTTGCAGTAGATTGACAAAGATTTTCACTCTTGCCACAAAATCAAATCTTTTTTTTAAGTTAGGATGCTGGAAAAGGATGCTAGGGAGAAAAACGGGAATGGGATCTTTATGTGACAGAACCCATAAGCTTTGTTCTGGGATGGATCGCAGATTCTTGTCGGAGCGAAGGTTGATTAGCATCTTGCCCGCCTGGTGTAGGATACCTCTATCTGCATAACTTTAATCTTTGTAATGTAGTGTGTACATGGTTAGTTCCCTGAATGCATTGTGACTGATTTCTAGCAACAGATCTGATGCTTCTCCAATGTTGTGCTCTCTTGCTGAAAGTTTGCAGTTGTGCAGATTAACACAGCCCGGGAGCTGGAAGACCCCGACTACCTTACAGAGAGCTACCTGAATCTGGCACGGAGCAATGAGAAGCTCTGTGAATTCCAAAAAACTATCTCCTATTGTAAGACCTGCCTGAGCATGCAAGGTACTACCATGAGCCTGCAACTGAATGGCCAGGTCAGCCTCAGCATGGGCAATGCCTACCTTGGCCTCAGTATCTTCCAGAAGGCACTGGAGTGTTTTGAGAAAGCCCTCCGCTATGCACACAACAATGATGACAAGATGCTCGAGTGCCGTGTCTGTTGCAGCTTAGGAAATTTCTACACCCACCTCAAAGTGAGTACTGTTCACATGGGAAAGAGAAAAGTGTTGGGGATGGGAGAAGAAAGATATGGGGAGGGAGAGGAATGGGAAGCACTTGGCCTGTGGCTAGGCCTCTTAGTGCATATACTGAGGTGAGGGAAGTGTCCCAAGGAAAGGCAGATAACTGGCTTTTTTCTCCAGGACACCTTCATGGCATGTGGGAAGCCACCTGTGTAGACAGAACAGATTCCAACAAACTTTAGCAACAAAAAGGGCCAGCAGAAACTGGACTCAGTATCTTGTTAGAAGAGTTGGGACTGCTGAATTAGCATTCTTGAAAGAAAGGCCCTCTGCCTGGATCCTTGACATGGCTCCAGATATTGCCACTTTAGTACATGGGCATTATCTCTGTATCTGAAAATAAATCGGAGACTCCCGTTATCTTCTCTACAATGAGAAGAACCACAGTTTGGACGCGCCAAATGTTGAAAAGGATTGTTTGAGACACATCTTTGTTAATAGCTTTTTACCATCGGACACTGTACATTGGGACAGTTTTCTCAGTGCCCGGAGAAGCTTTGAGGAATAACAAGACACATCAGTTTTATTTGCCACTGAAAACCACAGAAAGAAAAAGAAATCTGATCTTTCTAGGAATGTTTTTGCCTGGCCATTTCCACTTTATTATGATTGTAGTTGTAACATGATAGCTTGATCATATGGTGTGAGGATTGTTTATAAGCATCTCTTTCTGTGTCTCACATGTGCACATGCACACACACACACACAGATTTGTTATAAATGAGTGAAGTACCCATGAATGAAGCAAGGTTGTCTTTTCAATCTAGCATCCTCTAGTTGTGTTGGACTAAAGCTCCCATAATCCCCAGCCAACTGTGCCATGCTGGGGAAGGCTAGGCAAAGTTATCAAAGAAGTAAAATAGAATCATCTTCAGTTGGGTGCATGAATCCCAAGTATTGCACCCATGCTTCCCTGGTTGAGAAAGATGTTTTTTCTAATGCTTTAAATATCTGAAAAGGAAGCTATTCCTATTTCTGGGAGAAATAAGAACTATTCTGCGGTATTAACACCTCCTAAGGCATAAATTTGGAGACACTTATATAGAAGACTTTTTGCTTAAATTTATGGATTTGTATGCCCATTTGAGGCAAAAAGTAAACTCTTCTTCCATGTTGGTTTCTGCTGAAGTTAAAAACCACTCAGTTCAAAGTTTGGTGAAAGTCTTTTGAAGAACAATGAAGCACAGCAACAGGTAGACACAGAGATGTCCTTCTTTTTCACCAGTGCCTGATCTAGAATGCTGCCAAGTTGTATCTTATTTTATTTATTTATTTATTTATTTGAACATTTTTATGCCGCCCCATTCGCCGAAGCCTCGGTGCGGCTTACAACAATAAGTTAAAAAATAATTATAATATTAAATTTAAAAATATAAACATTAGGTTAAAAATACAAAAATACCAATATAAAATAAGCCGCCCTGGCCAGTTAAAATCCAATAATATTAACAGTTAAAATGCCGCTTACATAAAAAGGTCTTCGCCTGGCGCTGAAAAACAATGACGGCGCCAGGCGGACCTCTCTGGGGAGCGCATTCCATAGATTGGGCGCCAGCGCAGAGAAAGCCCTCCTCCGAGTACCCACCCTCCTAATTTCTTTCACGGAGGGTTCCCGGAGAAGGGCCTCTCCCGCCGATCTCTTCTTCCAAGTTTACTGAGGACATGATGAAACTTAAATGTCCACTGCACTTTTTCACCTGACTCTTCAGCCAAAAAAGCTAAAAAATAAAAATTATTGGAAAAGGCTGCTAGAGTAGCTTACAAAAATCAGCACTGAGATACTCTCCACCTTCAGAAAATCAGGTGGAGAGAGAGGAGGGGAAAGCAAGCTGAGTCAGTAGTTTCATTTACACAGTTCTTGTAGCTCTTTTTTCTGGCATGAATGAGCAAAGCCAGCTAGCTGCAGCTTCCCCTTCTGTGGCTAAGGCAGGAGGTCAGGCTGCTCTCATCCCTGCTGTTATGTTCTGCCTGGGAGACAGGAGATGCAGGGATGAGGCCAAAGGATATAGTCCCAGGGCGACTGTCAGCTGGAGCCAAGCACTCTTCTGGCCAGAAAAGGTGACACAGGTTCCTGTAGCTCCTGCTACAGGATATCCTGGCTGATATCCGGGGCCAGGTTGGTCTTTCCCTTACCCCGATGATCACAGAAGCTTGTGACGTGAACCAAATTAGGGACTTCCACTAAAAGAGCCTGGGTTTCAGTCTGCTTGTAAAAGCAGATAAAGGTGCTACTGTGCTAACCTTGACTGCCTTTACCTGCTTAGTAAGTCCGCTCACTGTCTTACCATCTCACTTTTTCAAGGACTATGAGAAAGCCCTGTTCTTCCCATGTAAGGCAGCTGAGCTGGTGAACGATTATGGAAAGGGCTGGAGTCTCAAGTACCGTGCAATGAGCCAGTTCTACATGGCTGTGGCCTATCAGAAGCTGGGGTGCCTGGCAGATGCGATGGAATGCTGTGAGGTACAAACTGGTGGTGAGGCACTGGCAGCAGTGATGGGGTGTGTGTGTGTGTGTGTGTGTGTGTGTGTGTGTGTGTGTAAGTGTAAGCGAGTCAGGGTGGGCCACCTCCTTTGAGCATAGATGGTTCCAGGTTCAGGCCCCAGCATTTTCCAGTTAAAAGAGCAGACACTAGGTGCCAAGAAAGACCCGCCTCTTCCTGAGAACTTGGAAAGCCACTGTCAGTCAGAGTAGACCATACCAGGCTTAATGTACAAATAGTGGGTCCCAGTACAGGGAAATTCCTGTGCAGAGCAAGGCTGCTGAGATAGCAGAATCCATCCTGTATCTCACGTACTCCTACAGCCATTTGCTCCCAGCTGAATCTTTAAAGCCATTCAAGGGCAAGGGATGCTTCCTCCATTGCAGGCTGGGAGCGAGCAGATACTGCTTCTTTCTTTCAGGCACATGCACAAGATAAGGGTGGGCAACCTTTCTGGACCCATGGACATATTTGGCCATTGAACAAACTGTCCTGGGCACACTGCAGATGAAAGTATCAGTCTGTAGCCACCTGCCATTTTCATATCCTCAAATGTTTTCAAAGTCCCACTGGAGACCCAGAAGCCTAGGAAAAGAGGATGAGAGCAGCAAAAGGACCTCTCTTTGCTTTCAGGAATTCCCAGATGACAATTTGAAACTGATTTACAGAGAATAAAAAAGGGAGGAGTGAGGCACTTTGGCAGGGATGAAGAAATCGGAGGGCGCACTGGAGTCCAGGGGTGTCGTGCTGTTTAAAAGCATCTGGGATTGCTGGCACTCTCTGAATCATGACTTGGATAATTCCTTGCTAGGAGTCAATGAAGATTGCTCTTCAGCATGGCGATCGTCCTTTGCAAGCACAATGCCTGCTCTGCTTTGCGGATATCCACCGCAGCCGTGCAGATGTACAGGTAGGACCGATGGCCTCATCCTATGAAACTGGAAAAGGAGTGTGGAGGCAGCCTGAAGGGAGGGTTCCAAGCCTCGGACACCAATTGACAGCCTCTCTTACACCGCAGACAGCTTTCCCTCGCTATGATTCCTCCATGAACATCATGACTGAGATTGGAAACCGGCTGGGACAGATTCAGGTGTTGCTTGGTGTGGCCAAGTGCTGGGTGATTCAGAAGGAACTGGACAAGGTCAGTGGCAGGCTGGACCGAGAAGTTGACCAGAGATGTGGAATCCCTCCCAGTCTCCTCCATTTCAATTGTGGCCCCAGAATCGTAATCATGGGATTGTTGTGGGTATCATAATAAACCTTTTAATACTGTATAGATAGCCTAAGCAGCTTTTCCCGGTGGTCTGATTTTCACTGCATAGAAAACACCCTGAGATACCAACACAGTGAAAGGGATACAGTTGGAAGAAGAAAAGTCCTCCAACTTTTTGCTTTTTCCACCTTTTCCAAATTCTTGTGCCATTTAATTTGCATAAATAGATAAGATACGGATCGTCACAGTGCTCCTTTATCACTGCTATGTATTCATTTAGTCCATTTCTGATCTGCCCAATAACTGCAATGCTCTGGGTGGATTACAGCTGTTTCTAGACCTCTCTGTTTATTTTACAGAAATGATCAAAGGGTGTCATTAGGATGCAATTCTTTTTGTGCTGCATGGTCGTTTGGGACTTGTTGGGAGTTGCATGACTTCTTTCCATCTAAACTTACATAGGATTGCACATTTCCTTATTCTCAGGCCGGGCGGGGGGGGGGGGGGGAATGACAAAGATTGTAGGACTAAAGAAAAGATAACAGTGAGATACTAAGATGGCCTGCTTACTCGCTCCCATTTGCCCTCACGGCATATCTTCCCATAAGGAAGCTGCTCCTACCCTTTGATCCCTTTGCCCTGTTCTGCACCGTTTCCAATTCCATGGCGTCTATTTTCAGAGGAGGAAACCAAACCTGCACACAGTATTCCAAATGTGGCCACACCATCCATTTATGGATCAACTCTTTAAATGCTTATTCTCCATTCCATGTGTAACCATCCCTAGCATCGATTTGTTTTCATGGCCACCAGACACAGAGTTAACATTTTCATCAAGCTGTTGATTAGAGCTTGCGTTTGCTTCAGGCAAGGCATGAATCCAAGGCAAAGCCCCCATGGGGGAGATATTGAAACCATTCTGGATCAGAGACAACACAGCTCTGAAGCAGGCTCAAGTGACGTTTCCTTGTCCCGAGGCTTTAAAACTGTCCTGAAGCTTTGGAAGAGCGCTTTTATTTATTTTTCTTGCTCAATTTGATGCATTTTTGTCCCTCCCCGATTTCATCATAAATGGAAAACATCAGGTGGGGTGGAGGTTAGTTGGTTCACTGACAGGTCACGCTATTAGGCATGCAGTGGCTGTTTTGCCTGACTGCCCTTTTATTTCACACCAGAGTGCTTCTAGGAAAAACAGAAATGCCGTACCTTTGTTGCAAGTGGAGCAGGAACAAATGGTGATATTTCAAAAGCCTTAACTACTGTCTTATAACTTCTGCACCGATCCTTTTGAAATATTGCAGGGAATTTACCTAGAGGCATTTGTAGCTTGAAATCCATGTTTGTGCAAATTACAGATAAAAAACAGAGAAAGGCATTTTGCCTTTAAAAAAAAAAGATGATTTCAACAAAGAAAACCTCTAATTTTAACCTTGCACAAATTAGCCTGCATCTATTTGTTTGAGTCTGACATACCTTATCCTCTCAGGAGGGCCTACAATTTCCCACAATAAATAAATATTTATTGTGGGAAATTGTGGGAAATAATAAATAAATATTTATTATTTCCCACAATAAATAAATATTTAAATAAATAAAATATTTATTTATTTATGGTATTTCTATATCATTCAATTAGACAAGCTTTCAGAATGGTGTACAGAATATAATTAAAATATCTAATAATAATCTATTTAAAAACAAATATTAAACAATTCGGCCAAAAGTATAGCCATTAGTTGATTTTTCATTTTATAGTTAATGAGAAAGATATCAAAGGCTTCAAAACACCAAGGCTCAGCTGCACTTCAGATCCAAGTCAAAGCACAATGTTAGACTCGAAGCTGAGGTGGTACCTTAGCAAAGCTGTGATTATTTTCTCTGTACACAACCACACACCATCCACCTTGAGCACAAAGAAATCTGCTTTGGAGAAGAATGTCAGGCTAAGCAAAAGCCTTTTCACCAAATGCGTGTCTTGGCATGCAAGATGTCAGCCCTGGCTTTATACATCTGTCTCAGCCATTTGCAGTACCAGCTTATGGAATTTGCTTCTTTTCCCACAGGCACTAGAAAGCATTGAGAAGGCTCATGAGTTGGCAGAGGGACTTGGCAACAAGGTAAGTCTCTCTGGGGCTGGTGCAAGTCTTCCACCCCCCTGAGGTGGGAGGTTGTACCATTACCTTCTCTCTCTCCTCTCACCTCATGCCTGATCCAGACTCTACCTTGCTGTATGTATCCTGCCTTGCTATCTCGCCTCAGCAGCACAGGTTTCCCTACTACCTGAGAGTCAGTTCCTACAACTGGTTTCTGCCTTGCCTTGCCATGTTGCCTCAACAAATGCAGGTCTTCATTACAAGCTCTAGTTCAGCTCCTGCATCTTGTCTGATACTTGCCATATATCCTGCCTTACGAAGTATCCTGCCCTGTTATCCTACCTTAATGAACTTGCACCTCTCTTTTTCTTCCTGGTTCTCAGCCCTTGCTTGTCCATGACCGCCTCTTTGTCTTGCCCTGAAATATACTCCTGCTTCCTGTTCTGTTACTTTGGATTCTGTCTTGCCTCGAGTGCAGTTGCCCAGGTCCCCATGTCTCTGTCTTGACTCCTGCCACCCCCAACTCTGGTCCTACCATTGGCCATCCAGTCCTTAGGGCCTCCTGGGGTGTCCACTCACCTAATGCTGTGCTCTAAGGGCTTCCTCAACCAAGGCGCCAGGCAGATGGGGCTCCACAGATATGCCAAGCATTCAGCATTTGCTGCAGCTGGAGAGCGGCCTGCATGGTTTTCTCAACCACTGAGCAGGGCATGCAGCTCTGATGCCAGCAACCCAGGCACATGGACACAGTGAACAAGAGGGTGAATGCCACCCTTGGTTGCATAGCCAGAAGTGTGGCTTCTAGATCGAGAGAGGTATTACTACCACTCTATATGACTCTGGTGCACCTCTGGAGTATTGTGTTCAGTTCTGGGCCCCTCATTACAGGAAGGATATAGCCAGGTTGGAGTCAGTGCAGCGTAGGGCCGCAAGGATGGTGGCCGGATTGCAGGGGATGCCGTATGAGGCGAGACTGAGGGAACTGGGTCTTTTCAGCCTGAAGAGGAGACTCCGAGGGGATTTGTTGGTGACATATAGGTACGTGAGGGGGATGTCACATCACACAGAGGTGGGTAGAGACCTGTTCTGGCTCCAACGGAGTCAAGCCCAAGGAACCAAGGTTCAATTTGGATGCCAGAAAGTACTTCCTGAGAGTTGGGACCCTGAGGGTATGGAATGGGCTTCCATGGGAGGTGGTTGAAGCCCCATCGGTGAGGCTGTTCAAGGATAGGCTGGACATGCACATGGTGGGCACATCGTGAGCAGAGCCAGAGGTCAGACTAGATGGCCCGGGAGGCCCCTTCTGACGCACTCTGTTTCCATGTTTCTTTGTTTCATCATCTATATCCTTACTGTACCAATTACAGGGCATCTCCTTTGTTTATTGAAAATGTTTGTATCTTTCCTCATAACAAGGCCTCCAAGGCAGCTGAGAAGAGAAAATTAATACGCAATGACACATAAGATTATTTTAAACATTAGTGGTGGATTATGAAATCTCTGGGGTAACAGTGGTAGAACATGACTACGTTCCAGGTGTTTCAGCTGCTGTTTTTTGTAGGGTCTGTCAGAACCATAGGAAAGAGTAGCCCCCACATGGGTGCTACTAGCACCAGATCGCACCAAATATTTTGGTCCCAGGTGGAATGAGCCATCTTCTTACTTGGGCAATTGGACAGTCTGCAGCTCTTGGCTCTTCTTGATATGAGGGGCCTAATGAAGGTTCTGTGGGATGGTGACAGAGAAATCGCTGCTCCCAAGCCTTAATTCTTTCTGGTGTGAACAATCTGGAGTTGTTCTCTACTAGTCTGATCCTTAATAGGAGCTTGTGGACATAACATTACAAAAGACTGGGATGTGAATTGTTCCTGCAGCTTTCAGTCAGGCATGAGTGTGCAGGTGGAAGCAATATGCAGCAGATGAGGAGCCCGTTGAGGATTGGTGCAGCATCCCCGTATTCTGTAGGATGGAACACAGTAGCTTAGGAAAAGGGGGCCAAGGGATGGCCAAAGAAAAAAATCCCACTGAGCAGAATGGGTGAGCCAAAGGCCAGAAGAAACATGTACATTAATTCAGCAACTGGCTAAATTGCTACTTTTCCAGAGTATAAGGCAACGTTGCACAACCTTGGGAAGCAAATAAAGATTTCCCAGAGGAGTCCAGCAAAAGCTTTCTTTAAAAAGCAAATTTTGACAAGGATATTTGTGTCTATCTTATACACTTCTGCTGGTTCAACAGGCCATTCCAATCACCAGGTAACCCTCGGAAATACGAGGAGACAGGAGATAGATTGCATAAATAACCCACAGCACCTCAGAAATACAATTTCCAAGACCACGTTTCACTTGCCGGTCAGCTGCTCTTCATCTGCATGGGGAAGGCAAAGAATGACTGATGCCCAAAGGCCAACTGAAAGCTCCAGCCAGTTTGGCCATGGACCAAATGATGCCAGGGATGGAGGCCCATGCCAGAAGTCACCAGGAGAAACCTCACTACCTGATACAATCCGCCCATGGTACAATCCACATGCAGTTCCCCACCCCTTGCCATGGGCAATTAAAGTGGCATAGAACCAGTACACCTTGACAATATAGGTGCAACCTTAGGGAAGAGCGCTATCTAGATGAATAGAGTGAGAAAGGTGCTATTGCCTGGTTTTCTTCTATTTGGGGGACAATGGGTTTATCCTGATGGCTGTTACACTGAGAAGCCAACTTGGCTTTTATTTAGGACACTCAGTAATGTTTCCATAGAGAGCCTGGGAGGAGAGCAAATTTCACCAACATTTTCACTTGGTTGTGGTACTACACACACTTCTGCTATAATAAGACTTCTTTTTAAAAATCTGGAAGAGAGATGGTAAAGGCTTGGTGACCGAAGACTAACATGGCGGACAGTGGATACATTTTTACTTAGATGTAGTGGCAAGCAGGAGACAAAGGAAGGGTGCCAGGTGACAAAAGGCTTAGAAGAGAAAATGTTCTTGGTGGTCAAGAAATCTGATGACTGGATCTAGGAGGCACCAGCCAAATCCTCTGTCATTTTCCCGTGACATTTTCCCCTTCCATCTTTCTTTTCCACACAGCTTGGTCTGCTGAAGATTCACTGCTTATGTGAACGGATCTATCGCACAAAGGGGCTGCAGCAGGAGCTTCGCAACCATGTGGTGAAGTTTCATGAATGCGTGGAAGAAATGGAGCTTTACTGTGGCATGTGTGGTGAATCCATCGGAGACAAGAACCACCAGCTCCAGGCACTGCCCTGCTCACATGTCTTCCACTTAAAGTAAGGAGCCAAAGAGAGCATAGATCAGATGAAAGAACTGAGCAAAAGATTCTTGCAACCGTGCGTTCCCTTGATGGCTCCGTTGGACAGCTGTCCAGTAGATTCGAAGTTACAAAATAACCTATTTGGGGCTCTCTTAATCAATGTCTGTGGTTGATGCTGGTGCACTTTGATGTACCCAGACAAGCCTTCTCACTGCAGCTGTTCAGATGAGTGCACTTGCGCAAGTCTGGAAAAATGCCAGAAAAGAAAATGAAAGTTTATAAAACACATTGCACACATTTAATGTACTAAAAAGTACTAAAAGTGGGTGGCACATCACTGACAGGGTGCTGCTTGGCCACTTTAGAAGGGTGGACAGTGGCTGCCATTTCAACGGTGCATGCACTTTGTGGGGAATGAGGCCTACCAGCTAGTGGTCCATGATTTTTCTGCAGCTTGTAACAAGAACCTCTCAGTCAGGTAGTTTCTGCTTCCCTAAACTCTTGGGAGATCTCCAAAGAAGAGAGTGAAACCTGTCATTTTAGGATCAGAAAGAGAGAGGCACAGAATGTACCTAACCTGACCTGGCATCTCTGCAATTTGCTGCTGTTACGTGCAAATGGCGCCATTCAGTCCATTGCTTCCATTGGTCACTGATTTAGAACAAGCGCATCCTACTGCCTGGTGGAAAGTGCAGGGAGCTAGACTGGCCTAGTGGGCAGGACGTCACCATGTTCTGCAGCCGCATGGGATAAAATTAGGGAAGTGAAAGGAGAAGCTTGGCAGTCGGATTGTAAACAAAGATGGCCTTGATACCAGCATCAGAAGGAAAATAGCAAGTGAACTCATGGATAACTGATCTTGGCAGACACTGTGAGGCAAGGCTAACTTTAGTATGTCGTAATTAGCAAAGTAAATATTCTGGAATGAAACAAAAAAAAAAAACTTCTCTCAACAGGTTGGTAGCTTAGCAGGACTGCAAGTTCACAAAACACAAATTGCAGCAAAATTGCTCTGTTTTCTTCCATAAAGGGGAAAGAAACTCTTATAAGAGATTTGGAATATAGAAATTGCAAAATGGATGAGGGCTGGATGCAACCATGGCATGTAATTCTATGCATAACCTTAACTATGTCTTGTGGTAAAATGAGCCATCAGTGCTTGGGGAGGTCAGTTTTTAATACTGAGGATCTCTTAGATTGTCCTATGGACACCTTGCACCTCCATCGATCTGCTAAATTTGGGATGGGGTATGGAAATTCAGTGTAAGACACTGGTTTAAATCCGGACAACAGTTGTTGAACTTGGGTTATTCATGACTGAAGTCTCACTGAAAGCAACATGAACTAAATTTAACAAATGGGCAGGGCCATGCCTCCAAAGTTGGAGGACTAGGGGAATCCACTGGAAGGTAAGAGGACTGCAGAGGCAAGATGCCTTGTGTTCCTCCCACCCTCCCAAGCATGCTAAGTGATTTACCTCTGCTCACAAGCAGGAGGGACTGACATACTGCCAGGATTCCTCATAACCCAGCAGAGCCTCATTCCTTCTCCCACCCCACAAAAGCCTCCCCTTGGCATTGGCTCCAAAGTTGCCCTTCAGACTTCAGAGCTGCAGCCAGCGCTGGAAGAACAGCACCAGCTGTGAGGATAGAGGTCTGGGGCCTTCTCAATTCAGAGCCACCGCTCCAAGCTCCAAGCACTTCTCTGATTTGAGAACTGAGGCCCCAAATTTTCCCATGGCTGTCCATACAGTGTCCAGCAGCCATAAGATTGTGGCCTTAAGTTGCAAACCTTTGCACTTACATGGGAACAAATGAATTAACAGGATGCACACCTGAATAGATCTGTATAGGATTGCATTACATCTCTGAATCCAACCTACTGAGTTTGTTCTCATGTTTCGAGTTTGAATTATTTTTATAAACTGAATTCATTTTTTGACAAAAAGTGGGACATACTCCAAAGCAAATACTTATGTAAACCACTCCCCAAGACACTATGAATAATTTGCCCTTATACTATAAAAGAGTCATGTAGAACTTAGTTGGACCAAAAAGCCTATTTGAGGCATATTTATTTTTTGGACAGTTAGATGATTTGCCTTTAAAATTATTATTTAAATTCTGTACTGCCCCATAGCCAAAACTCTTTACAAATTTATATAACCTTAAATAATGCCATCTTGGTTTCAGCAGACTTGCAGCCCGGGGTGGTCCTAGGCTGTCAACCTACAGTGCCAAGAACTAATATACCAGTGGTAGCTGCTGCCTTTGGAAGTTTGTTGGATTTGCAATTTTTGAATTCTTCTCATCTATGGCATGACTTGTATAGCACTTCTGAACATTTGGAGAGTGTTGCAGTCACCATACAGATAAGATAGGTAGCAACTTTTATTTTCAGCACCAAATTAAAAGGTTTTCTTTGGCCAAGCTTTTTAATATTTCAGCATCTTACCATGTAAATGTGCACTTTTCAATGGATTTTGTTAATTTTGTGAAGTGTGTTGTCATTGTTTGTTTGGCTTACTGACTGACAAGTAATTTCAATGTATCTTTCAATCTGCAGTTGTATGGTTTTATATTAGAATGTGTATTTGTTTTAATGTTGTGTACTCTGGGCTCCCTTGTAGATGAAGGGCAGTTTATAAATTTTAAAAAGAAACTATAATTTTTTTGTACATACACAGGTGTAGAGTTTTTCATGCAAGAAGGCTTGAGCATAACTTCCAAACAAAAACCAAGCATCTCTCAGTTAGAAAATAAGCTATACCACATGGTATGCATTCAGTGTAAAAAACCTAAAGCAAGTGCAGTAGAATCTTTAAAACGTCTGGACAAATCTCTTGATTTTGACTGCATCCAGTTTTCCACCCCGAAACACAGTTCAGCCTATCAGAAATCATACTATGTATTCATCTAAACTTGAAAATATTGTCTCAGGGCCAAGTAGCCCATCAGTGTTATACTGAGTTCAGGCCATGGATCTAGCTCGGAATTGCTGACACCGACTGGCAGCAACTTCAAGCAGGCTTCTCTGCTCGATCTCCCTGGAGATGATGGGCTCTGAACCTGAGACCTTCTGCATACAAAGCATGGCTGACCATTGAAATCTATTGTTTGTCATGTTGTCTGAACCCGGATGTGAGGATTGATCATTGCAACACTGTTGCTATCAACACGAAGACACAACAGTCTGTTCTAGGGTTTGTACCTGCCAGGGCTGTGTGTTACGACATCTGTACCATGGAGAGTTATTCTATTGTTGGTGGTTCAAAGCAGCAAAACAAGCAGCTGCTCAAGGCATCCAGTCTCTACTCCTGATGTGTGCCTGGAAACATTCACCTTGCTGCTTGCTTTGATAGACACTCTCCTATAAGGAGTAATAGTAGCTACAAGGAGTATATCTCATGAGGAGTAGAATGGAGTAGTTATCAAATGGGAATAACTAGAAGATTATTGTATTTCCCTGTAGGAACATTCCTTTAAAGGGACACAAGGTATATTGCAGCAGGCAGAAGGAAGAGCACAGCTCTGACGGAGTAAAGCAATTGCAGCAACATTTGGACTAGACAGTGAAGACATCTTTTAATCATAGGGTCCTTTTTTACTTTTATAGTCCGAATACCAAAAACTGTCTTTATTTTTCTTTCAAAATAAGTCTAGATGGTAATTTGAGACCTTCCCAGGTATGTGGTTGTGGGGGAAGAGAGGAGGGAGTAGTAGGGTAGTAAGCAGAGGGCTGGAAACATTGGGGCGGTATCCAATTGTGGGTAGACCTGTGGAATGGCCACTGCTGAAGAATAGGATTCCCCCTCTTGTTGCACCCCACCCTACACACCCCAAATCTACTCTGGAGGGTTGGGGTCCCTCTTGGGCAGATCTATGAGGCTGACATGAGTGGGCGGATACGGGAAGTTCCATTGCACAAGCAGAATCCCGCTTATGTGCTGTTGGATCAAACCCTTTACACGCTGCTGAATGTGTTTTTAAAACCTCTAAAGGTAAAGGTTTCCCCTTGACGTTAAGTCCAGTCATGCCTGACTCTAGGGGGCGGTGCTCATCTCCGTTTCCTAGTCGAGGGAGCCAGCGTTTGTCCGCAGACAGTCTCGGTGGTCATGTGGCCAGCGTAACTAAACACCGAGGTGTACGGAATGCTGTTACCTGCACACCAAAGTGGTACCTTTTTATCTACTTGCATTTGCAGGCTTTCGAACTGCAAGGTTGGCAGGAGCTGGGACGGAGCAACAGGAACACACCCCATTGTGCAGATTCAAACCAGCAACCTTTCAATCAACCAGCACAGCGGTTTAAACCACTGTACCACCTGCAGTCTCCTAAAACCTCTAGGCAGATTATAAAAGCGCGAATTAGCAATACTTGTATGTTATTAAAACATCTCCTAAACACTAAAAGCACAGCTGCAGCACTTAAAAGAACACTCACACTACAGATTTCTGTCTTGAAGTGATCACAGTTAGTGGGGAGGAAGTTAAATAAGTTCAACTGATGAATTCCATTAAAGTTTTAAAATGTGTTTGTTATAAGTTGTAGATTTTTTAGATTATGGTTCTTTTAATGGTGCAATTCTCTGCCTTGTCTCAAGTTAGGAGCAAAACCCATGATAAAATTCTCCTTACCAATTATTCACCCTTTAAGACAAGCAGTCATGTCTTCTTCCTCCTTAAGGATTAGCAATTTAAATCTCGGATTCCTGTTTTAAATGTGCTGTACTGTTTTTCCCCACTGCAGGTGCCTCCAGACCAACGGGACACGTGGTTGCCCCAACTGTCGGCGCTTATCCGTTAAACCAGGATTTGTGTGATCTGTCGAATCCGTGATTTAAGAAAGCTCATTTCATAGGCTGTAAAAAGCAGGCCATTGGATCATTTCTGGTACATGATATGGAGAGGGGGAACCCATGGTGCATAGGGAGAGGTTCTCCTGCAGAATGGATGCAACAGGTGGGCCTAGACCTCTGACACCTGATATTCTGCACATCTGAATTGTGGGTGCGTGCCAGGAGTTCCTGGCATCTCCTTCCTCCAAGGCAGGTAACTGCAACAGATGTGACTCCTCTGCTGTTTCGGAGGAGTAGCGCAGGGTGGCTTCTCACAATCCCACTCCTCTCATTCTTCTGTTGTGCTGCTTCTGGGTAGCTTCCTCCAGGTCCAGCTCCGACACTTGCATCCCACATCTTGTTTTTATTCATTCCTCATGAGAAACAAAATGATTGTGATGACGTGATGCTCTTTTCCTGTGGCTTTGGAGAGGCAGCAACCCTTTTCTTGATATTGTTGCAAGTTCCTTCCCCTTGATATTGTAGTTTAGACTCTTCTTCGAAACATATTTTGGGTGCCTTGGAAAATTCACACACTCTTGATAATGCAAAATAGTTCATCCTGCACAGGTCTCCTTCAAACCTGTGATGTCCCCATGCCCTTCGGCAGTGTGCTTCCTTATTTTGTCTGCTTCTGATGTACTATTAAACATTTGGATTCTTCCCAGGTGATTGGATTCCCTTCACCTGAGAGCTGCTGCATCTAATCTGTCCCCATAAAACACTCAGTTGGCACCTGGACTGAAGCAGGTGCAGGGGAGCAGGTGGTGGGGAAGTCCCAGGCAAAGGTATTTGTGTTGCTCTTTCTTTGCCACAGTATTGTGATGTCACACAGGCAGCGGCAGCGATCTGTCTGTGTCCATGGTGTTGTCAGCAATATGTTTATACTTTCTGTAATCTATTTATACTAGAATCAATAAAGTCATATCAGCCTCTAGATCCATTTCTTCATATTAATTTTGACAAGGCGGTCTCCTGAAATTCTGATGCCGTGGTAAAAGGAATTATTGTGAGCAAATATAAAATAGCATTTTAACATGCAAAAACTATTTGAGGGAAGAAAGAAAAATGTGACAGGCCTCCATAAATACCAATACAGGAAGGTATACATCAGGTATGCTTGATAAGGTGTTAATGTGTTTCTTATGTGCTACAGAGGTGAAATCAAAACAGATTGATTTGTTCAAAGCCCTACATTTTTTGCTGCCATCCCAGCTCATCTTTGATAATGAGTTAGATCAGAAGAGGGAAAAAACCCTTCCGTTTCTGTACAGCACTTAGCTTTTGCAGGACCCTTTTGGAGTGTCTTACGAGAGAGCATAATTTGGGGTGGGGAACCTTCTGGAAGGCATATTGTAAAAGGCAAGACTACTGTGCACATCATGTGATTGCAAAGGGAACATGGGAGTTGCCTCATGGTGAAGGTCTTGAACAATGGTCTCTACCTGGCATGTCAGACTAAATTCATAGCTGTGTTTTCACAGCTGTCCCCAAATTATGTTTTATTCCCCAGCACACTAAAGAAGAAATCATTTAGGAATACTCACTGCAGCTGGGAAACAGAATTGAGAATCTTCTTTCCCTCAGTAACTGGAGTGGATGTGTTCTGGATACTTACGTTATTAAGACTTACCTATAGGACAGATGGAGCAGTAGCTAATTTCAGGTCTCTAATGTTTTGTATGTGTTATTCTACACTGGGGGCACAGGGAATTCAATAATTGCAAGAAAAGCTCCTGTATTCAGTAAGTTTGACTGGCTTTTAGTTATCACTGACTGATGCAACTAAGGTATATGCAGTGTGCAAGGAATATCTGTGCACTTATTATTAACAATGCTCATATACTGCTTACTGCAATGAAATCTCTAATTCACATATCAGTAATCTAATTCACATTCAAATGCACTATTAAAAACAATTACAACTACAATTCAAAGAACAGTAAGATGGAGCAGCATATAATTCACTGAAATATGACAGAGAAGGCCTGGTTGAGCAAGCGCAGTTTCAGGATACATTTGAAACATTCCACATTATATGCCTCCAAAACTGCAGGTAGGAGGGTTTTCCAGAGGGAGAGTGCCACCTCCAAGAATGCCGACCTTTCAGATAGTACATGATAACAATCTAATGATAGTGTTGATTATGAAACAACCTTTGAGGCCTCTTTTGAAGATTTTAAATGCTGGCTGGATATATACAGGGGAAAGTGATCTGCTATCCTGGCCCCAAGTTGGCTTTGTATGTCAACAGCAAACCCTTGAACATGTCTTGGTAGCTAATAAACAGCCATTAACTGTACATTCTTTGATAATTGTAAGCTGCTTAATAGGGAGTCCATTAAAGTTAATGGTTGGGTTTATTTTTATATTACCATATAGCAGAATTAATACACTCACATCACACATCAGATTTAGTTGCCATGTAGCAGTATTATGATGGACTGATTTTGTATTTTATGAGCATTTATAGAATTACAGTTTATTTGATTGCAAAAGCAGTTCTTTCTCATGCCCTACCATTGCAGAGAAACTCATTCTGAGCTGGAAAGCAGGAGCTTCACTTCTACTGAGCTTGTAATCATAGCCCAGCTAGCCTAAACCTTAAATGCTGTTCCCTACTTTCATAAAGCACTAAACGCACAATTCTATATATGCCTATTCAGAAGGAGCATCCAATCGAGGGCAGTGCAGTGCAGAGATTCAGTTGTTTCTTCCACAGGTTTGGGGGTACAATATAGGTTTGATGCACAAATCAATAGGTAGCACTTTCATTGGTTAAATCATGCAACCATTGACACATAACCAAAAGTTAAACAAATTTCTGCAGGTCCTACAGGCAGTTCTTCGTTGGGTTTGGATGGCGGGTGTTAGCACCAGTTATTCAAGGGTTATGAAGCTTACTGGGTGAATACAGGCTGACTTTCATTGAAACCTACTACACAGAGTTTTCTGAAGATAAAACAGCCACCATAAACTGACTGAGGTTCCTTATAAGAAAAATGGTGAGATATAAATGTAAAGTTATTAGCGATATAAATAGATCTTTGCCTACAAACATTTAACCTCATCAACACCTCTGTAAAACGAAGACAACAATGTTAAAAATTAAAAACTTTGTTATTAAAAAATTAATAACAATAACAAATTCAGTTTTAGGCCAAGAATATCTAGATGAGCTGTGTCTATCTCTCCCTCATTCTAAGTAATCCACCGAATACTGACAAGTAGTGCGCTTAATGCACACTATAAAGTGGACATCCCAAATCAAAATGGAAGAGAGTGAAGACTTATGTATCGCTCTATTCTTTTATCTCTACGAATACAAGCCGTCCAAAACATCCGCTTTTGCCCCAAAGTAAGATGGCGGCAAGTTCCTCACTAAGGAACGGCTATCACTCAGCAAATTTGAGCATGGTCATATGACTCTAGGGAAAGTCTATTTCAACTAATTTAGCAGATTCGACAGTCCAGTGCGGCATGTCGAGTTAAGAAGAAAGGCTGAGAGGGTGAGCAAAGTAACTACTCTCGAAGAAAACCTTTGGACGTGGTGACGGAGAGAAACGCTACTGACGCTGTTGCCGTCAAACGTGTGGAATCTGCTATTTCGAACACAGAGTTTCTCTTTTTCGCTGAGGAAAGATGGCGTCTGTCTGGGATGAGGCGGAGGTAAGGATGGTTGACGCGGATGATGCCGGTTGTGAGGTGTTGAAAGGGAGAGAGCGGAGAGGCCGCAGCCTCGCTCTTGACATGGGCAGAAGTTGGCCCTCTCAGGCTCTCCTGAAGGAGAGCCTTGGGAGAGTAAGGTCCACGAGCGGACAGATGACCCTCCTTTGCTTCTTACCATGACTGTGTGTTCCTGCCTAGGATGGAATCGGAGAGGAGGTTTTGAAGATGTCCACGGAGGAAATCGTACAGCGTACCCGCCTACTGGACAGTGAAATCAAGGTGCGGTCGGCCTAGGCTGAGTAGGCTACTTCGTGGCTTTAGTTGGCTATATTCCACACCACCCCTCCTCACGCACGCACAGCCTTTCCGCTCCAAGCCAATACTGCCCTTCTCGTAACCACCAGCTCCCGCCAGACGTGGTATACCTGTTCCTTATTCTACTTGTCTAGACTAAATGCCAGCTGCAATGATACAGTTTTCTGTAACTGCTTGAAGGCAGTCAAGGAGAGAGCAACTGAACCTTTTTGGTGCCAGTTCTTAAGCAGGTTTAAGAGGGAGGAGGAGAACCCCTTGATATCCAGAGCCAAGGCTGTGGGGTTCTAAAGGGTCATGCCAATATTTTGGATGAAATCCACAAACAAATTGATAACCAGAAGCTGGTGTACAACTGACACAATACTGTACGTTGTGGGAGCACTTGTTAGTAATGGGACTATTTTTGAGGGTAGCCCCATTGTAGACATTCTGTCTCTAAATAAGTAGAGTGTGAACCATGGTGGCTTAGTCTAAGCCCTAGGAAGTCATAACCAGTACCTCTGTCTGTGCATCTGAGGGCAGCCACAGATTCAGAAGTACCACCAACCTGCAAACCGGCTGCTTCAGAGTGAGTGCTGCTCCATCCAAAATTAGCTGAATATTTTCTCTGAGTTCCTCAGAATCATTAGCCATTGTACTTCTGAAATACACAGTTTAAGTTTGTTTGTTCATTCTCATCCATTTTAAAATGGGGAGGACTCACACTACCTCTCCAGGATTTGCTCATGACAAAGTGCAAGTCCTCCAGTCACTTGCTGCTGCTTATTGGTAATACCTCAGCCCAAACTTTACTAGCAGCCCAATAGTTACCAAGCATGGGAAACAAGATGAACCTTGTGGCGCTACATATAGCCAGTGAGCAATAGTCTCCCAGCACCACATGCCTGGGCCTGTTCTTCAGGATTGACTAGAACCACCATAAAATGGTTCCCTCAGTTCCAGGTTGGCCCAATATGATTATTTACTGTAAATTAAATATAGAGCTATAATCCCTTATTTTAATGTGTAGCTCCTGCCTCAGAATAAGACTATGTTCTACAGGTCTTTAACAATTAGACTTACAGCCCAATACTGAGCTTGTTTACTGTGCAAATATTATGTTCC